CCTAGAAGGAGCCCTTAATCCCGAAACCAACCTTAAGCGGAGATTAGGGGTTTAAAGGGTTTAGGGTTTAGGGTTTAGGGTTTAGGGTGTGCTGTATAGGGGTTTGGGATTTAGGGGTTTAGGGGTTAGGGGTTTAGGGTTTAGGATCCCCCTCGGCAGTGTCACATGTTGCCCGAATCAGGTAGCGCCCAAACCCAAACGCTAAACTCAAACTCTCAACCCAACCCTCAAGCCAACACCCGAGCTTCTAAGCCGGAAGCCCACCTCCGAAGCTCTCCGCATGCTGTCGTCCCAGAGACTCCAATATCCCTTAATCAAGGAGTATACCTTAAATCAAATTAAGGATCCTACCACAATTGAAGGTATATTCCTCAATTAAGGGATATTGGAGTCTCTGGGGTCCCTGTGCAGTGAATCGAACCAGACGTGCACAAAGTGCAAGCGAAAGCGGGACCAGCACGGAGTCGGGAATGTGCTCCCGGCTTGTTTACCCTTAACCCTAAACTCCATACCCTAAACCCAATAGACCGTAAACCCAAGTTAGTTCATGGGGGTTTCGGTATTTGGGGTTTAGGGTGTATTTAGGGTTCCCGGCTGGTTTGAACTTAGTTCACGTGGGCTCGACTCGCAAGAGTAAGTAACGTTTCGCCTTGACCGTTTTCGGGATAGCCCCCCTTACAATACTGGGCAAGTAAGTTTACACCCCAAACCTTAATTCCTCTGCCCTAGACTGAGAGAAGTCGCTGTGAGTTTATGTATGCCTCAAGCAGAGTCCAGATTTTGCTTAAGCTATGCCTTTGCACTCCACTTGTCACATAGGGTCCTGAATAATTAGAAAACTATTCCTTTGGGTTCCTGGTTATACCTTCCGAGGCCCTGAACCTTAAACCCTAAGCCCTAAACCCTGAATGTAGTATGCGATGTCCTGTTCAAAGGCAGATCTTAGGGAGCATAGCCATGGTGACTAGCCGTTGAGGTGGTGGAGGGTTTGGGGTTCAGGGGTTCGGTTTAATTCTCGGGGTCGAGGATTGAGCAGTTTGTTTTTTTCGGGGTTTGGGGTTTGATTTTTTGATTTCGGGTTTTGGGCCGAACAGGATGTCAGAGAGTTGTTTTGAAAGGGATTGTCTTCATTTTTTTAATGTCGTGGCCCGCAAACGATAAACTTTGCAGTTTTAGAGTTGCCTCATTACGGCTTGTAGATTTTGTTCCCACCCCTCTCCCTGGCTGGTGGCACTTTGGTAGCCACTGCCCGGGAAGAGGACGCGCAGGCCTTAACGGATACCTGCGTATGAACAACAACCTTCTCTACTTCCTGCCAGGGCACTGATCCCTGATCCCTAAACCCAGATCTCTACAAGCACACACGGAACCCTAACGTCTCTTTAGCCGAAGGGGCCCCGAACCTATATAAATTCTGCAAAAAGAAGGGCCGGATTCTTGTTTTTCAGAGACTCCAATATCTCTTGAATAAGGAACATACTTTCAATCCTATTAGGGATCCTACTCTAATTTCAAGTATATTCCTCAACTGAAGGATATTGGAGTCTCTGGGTCATATTATAGGATCCTTAAGGGAGGGTGCTTTCAAGGGGGGAGGGTATAAGGAATCCTTAGGGGACTGTAAGGGAACCTCAGGGAGTACTAGGGAGAATTAGGGATCACTAGGCTATTTAACCCCTCGGACCCCCCTCCCTTAAGGATACTACAATCATAAGTCCAGGAACCCTAAATCCCGGAACCCAGCCCCTGAAGAAGTGCCCAGACTTCCGGGAGCAGAGACCGGGCTTGGCAAGAAGACTTCTATAGTAAGTACTAGGATGCCCAGTAGTACCCTTATTCCGTTTTTGTAGTCCTAGGTTCCTTATAAAGTTACCCAATACCAAAAAGAGAGGCCTTTTTATTCTTAGGTTACTGGGTATCCTAGATAGTAAGTATGTCATCCCCTAAGGCACCATGGTAGTTTTTTTTTTGGATTACCTTATAGGGTTCTAAATATGAACCACAAGAAGGAACTACTATGGGGCCTTAGGGTAGTTATACTGCAATATGCAAGACAACCTTGGCTTGGTTCACGACTCTGTTCAAACTATCAAGGCCTCTACGTTAGAAGTGCCAGGTTTTCTGCCACTTTTGCAGCTGCGTGGATTCCAAGCCGCTGAACGAGACGCTGTTGTGCGCCAGGGAGGGGTGATGCTCGGAGGGGTCTTCGAAGATGAGGTGTGAGAGTTGTTTTTCAATTAATGCTCAGCTGGGACTCCCGATTCAACATTCTTGTTTTCGTGATTTGAGCTTCGGGTGGCACTCAAGCTTCCGTAGCACTGTAGCCTAGTTTGAAGCCGGCATTGTACATCCGTGAGAAGCTTCTGAAAGAATCGACGTGTTATTTATGCAGGGGTGCTTACCACCTCTCGCACCGTAGTTGCTAAGCTTCTGTCTGCGTAGGCTGGCACATGACCCTGTCGGAACAAGAGGCGATGCACATAATGACACTGCAAGTAGCAGTATTGATTGCACCGTTCATGCTCATACATACTCATCTCAATGATGATGTTACGACGACAGAATAGTGTATGGCAAGTTTGGACTACTCTCATGGCAGTGACAGCAGTAAGAATGATAGTGAGGATGAAACCATGAGTCAGCAATGCTCTTGCTAAGCATAGTTTCAGCAATACCGAAATTGCCTTATCTACACTATTCTGGGGAGATCCTTACTAGAATTATGGTATACTGGCCCCAAAACCCTATTCTAATTCATTTTCAAGGCAAGCCCTACATCCCTAGCCCCAGAAACCTAAAGCCGACTTCCCTTAACCCTAAACAAGGGCTCGTTTTTGGCTGCCACAAACCTCCGTACTGCTCGATAGAGCTTGGGACGATCCAGAAACGGAGATTTTCAAGGAACGTTACCTCCCGAAGATGTACTATACTTGGAGGTTCATGGATAGTTAAAAATAAGTGGGCTTGCAAATAGGGCTATCCCCTTTTGAGGGACTTATAACCCCATGAATAACTACCCAGGAACAAGTAGGGGCCTAATGATGGGGTACTGTAGCATCATCACACACAGGCTGCAAGGGGCCTACGGTTTAGGGTTTGGGGCCTACGGTTTAGGGTTTGGGGTTTAGAATTTAGGGTTTAGGGTAAACTCGAATTACTCCGATTCTTGAAATGTGGGCCCCCGCCCCCCTCTCCTTAGAGGGGCTGCATACTTCCTGGCATTAACCTGTTGCTTCGGATTCCCTCATATGGGTGCACTACACTGAGCCTCAAGAAATTAAAAAGGCCCCTATACTAGACCCCAATCAGGACTTAGGACAGGAGCTAGGGGTTGAGGTTTAGGCTTTTAGGGTTAGGCACTAAGGGGTTTGGGGTCTGGGGTTTTGGTGCTTGGGGCCTTTTCAACGGGGTCGGGGAACTAGGATGGAGAAGCTGTTGCGGAGCATCGGGGTGTTCGAGTTCACGGCGGGCTGTTTAGAAGTGGTGGGTTTCAGCGGCTTCGGATATTGGATTTGGAAGGGGCTCCAACGGGGAGGATGGCATTCTGCAGCTTCTGCATCGCAAGCTTGAGCCCTACCCTCCGGACCCTCAAACACAAAAAGCCAAGGAGATCACCCCCACATCATAGCCATCCTCCGACCCTAAAACTAGTTTCAGCCATCAGCCCTGAACCCTGGACCATAAAGTCCAAATTGCTGAACCCTGAACCGCAGACCCCTTAGAGTTATAGTATCCTTATAGATCCCTTATAGTACCCTTATAGTAATCCTTATAGGAGCCCTTTAAAGGGAACTCCAGTGCCTCACCTCTTCAGGGCGAGGCTGGAAACTTCCAGGCTGAAACGCCGAAGTCTCGAGCCCCAGGCCCTAAGCCCTAACCCTAATCCCGTCTACGCCCTAATCCCTAAACCCTAATATAAGGATTTAGGGTTTACTAAACCCTAATATAAGGATTTAGGGTTTACTAAACCCTAATATAAGGATTTAGGGTTTAGGGTTTAGGGTTTAAACCCTAATCCCTAAACCCTAAACCCTAAATCCTTAACCCTAAACCCTAAACCTCGAGCCTCAGCACTCCTAAACGCCTAACCCCACAGCCCTTCAAAGACAGAGAATATGCAGAAGTCTGCTCTCCGCTGTTGACGCCCGCCTATGGCGCCTGCCTGGGCTCTTCCCCTCGAGGCTGCGGGTTTGGGGTGTAACTAGGATGCCCAGTAGTACCCTTATTCCCGTTTTGTAGTCCTAGGTTCCTTATAAAGTTACCCAATACCAAAAAGAGAGGCCTTTTTATTCTTAGGTTACTGGGTATCCTAGTGGTTGTCAGAAATCCCCAAACCCTAAATCACTGAAAGTCTAGACCCTAAACCACGGAAACCCTAAACCCTTAACCACTGAAGCCCTAAACCCTAAGCCCTGAACCCCTGAAGCCCGAAACCCTAAAAGCCTAAGCCGCTGAAGCCCTAAGTTTAAGGGTCCCTTTAAAGGGATCTATATCGATTCTATAAGGGTGTAGGGTTTAGGGTCTACTTGGAGGTTCATGGGTAGCTATAAACGGGGTTATAAGTCCCCTAATCGGGGTAATAGTTACCCTAATTTTAACCCCACTTATAAGTCCCCATGAAGAAGGATTTGTAGCGAACTAGTAGTACTGGGCTCGGAACAGGTCGCTATAATTATTGTAATATCCCCTAAGCCCAGTGAGCGCTATATACTACGGCCCCAGGTACTCGCCATTCCCTTTCCTCGCCCCCTGACTTTCCGAAATGGGAGATTCCGAAAATGGCGGAATCTAGTACCCTAAATAGTAGGATCCTGATTGTAAGGACCCCCAAATAAGATAACCCCAACTTTCGGAAACTCTAAACCCCAAACCCCTAATTTTTCGGAAACTCCCAAATCTCACCTTATTTTGGGGTCCTGATAATAAGGATTCCACTATTTATGGATACTATATCAGGGCCCCCTATTTTCTTGCGGAAACCCCGAAACCTCACCGAAGGCATGGGCAAGACGAGAAAGCCCCACGCGGCGACGGGGGGCAGGCCCTGGTGGAGAGAAGGCAAGGCGGCAAGGGGAATGGAAGGCTTCCTTGGAGAAGGTTTAGGGTTGGTGGTTTAGGGTTGAGGGTTGAGGGTTTGAGGGTTGAGGGTTGAGGGTTTAGGGTTGAGGGTTTAGGGTTGAGGGTTGAGGGTTTGAGGGTTGAGGGTTGAGGGTTTAGGGTTGGGGGTTGAGTTCAGGGTTGCGGGTTTAGGGTTGAGGGTTAGGGTTGGGGGTTTAGGGTTTAGGGAATTGGGATGGGGTTTGGCATTTAGGTTTGGGGGTTTAGAGTTTAGGCTTAGGGTGGGTTTGTGGTTGCATCATTTGACAAATATCCCGTGCCGATAAAATTTCTTGGGTACTATTTCTAAACATTCCGAGCCGCATATTATGGGTTTAATTTGCGGGCTTAAGATGGGAGATGGCTGCGCTCTTGCCTGCCGCAGCTGACCAGTCGACATACGGAAGCTACGAGCTACATTCATGAACTGTATCGCATACACATACATTCAGAACCACCTATTCCTGCCCTTGTTCCCTACAATTCCTACTATTCATCTTATTCCTGGTACTATTCCTTCTGCAATTCCCGTTACTGCTCGGCGCTACTACTTCTACCAGATTCTACCACTTCTACTACTACTATACTACTACTACTACTACTACTACTACTACTACTGCTACTACTACTTCTACTTCTACTACTACTACTACTACTACTACTACTACTACTACTACTACTACTACTACTACTACTACTACTACTTCTACTACTACTACTACTACTACTACTACTACTACTACTACTACTACTACTACTACTGCTACTCATGCTGCCCAAGGTTAGGGGCAGGAGGAATAACAGTTGCTGTGCTTGGAGCAAGTCAGGTTTCTCGGTTCAAGGTTTACTGTTGTTGTTGAATTGGAGATTTGCGTTTCAGCAGTCTTTTCACGTTGGTGTTCTCAACGATCCTTCCACTTTATGCCCCAATACTACAGCCTACTGATACGGTTGATGATACAAATCCTGCATTACCCATAATAAGGAATATACCATAATTCCATAGTTTGGGGTCCTTAAGGTCATGCAGGATTTATATCATCAACCCTATCCCAGACCGTAGCTTTAAACTCTACGCCGTGTTTCACGCCTGCTGTCTTCCGGCTTGGCCTCATGCTTCCGACAGAAGGGATCCCGACACCTGTATCCCTAGCTAATGAGACCCAAGCTTCCTAGCTGCCTTAAGCCTAGGGTTTACCCAGAGGCTCCATAGTAGTTCCTTTTTGTTATTACCCTATAGGATTCTAAATATGAACCCCACAAATAAGGAACTACTATGGGGCCTTAGGGTAGGCACTCACAAACTGAGACCTCAACTGCAACGTCCACGGCCGAAGTTTGGAACCCAAAGCGCGCGGCGTGCAGTCGCTGAGTCTTGCTAACCCCAAGTGTTATAAACTCGAAGCCCTAAACGCGGAGATCTTACTTCGAAACACCTTACTAAAGCCACGCCCTATAAAGGCCTTGCATTAATGCAGGAATTACGATCAATTTTCTTCATAGGGATTTACCATATACCTCAAACCCTGTACTGACCAGTCAGACCCCTATCGTACAGCATCCATCAACGCTCCTTCGAGCCCTACGATCCGCTTCTTTCAGGCTCCTGGCGAAAGGAAAGCCACTCCTGGGACCGGGAGGAGACCAGGGGAACAGGCCAGCTCCCGGGGGTTTAGGGTTTAGGGTTTAGGGTAATTATAGGGTTTAGGGTTTAGGGTATAGGGTTTGCCTGATCTTTGGACGGGTGTTTCGAGGTGCCGCTAAACCCCAAACCCTGAAGGGTCCCTACTAGTACAGCAGGTGCAGTAGTGGCACAGACGTCGTGTAGTAGTAGTAGTAGTAGTAGCAGCAGTAGCAGCAGTAGCAGTAGTAGCAGTAGTAGCAGTAGTAGCAGTAGTAGCAGTAGTAGCAGTAGTAGTAGTAGTAGTAGTAGTAGTAGTAGTAGTGGTAGTGGTAGTGGTAGTGGTAGTGGTAGTGGTAGTGGTAGTGGTAGTGGTAGTGGTAGGGGTAGTGGTAGTGGTAGTGGTAGGGGTAGTGGTAGTGGTAGTGGTAGTGGTAGTGGTAGTGGTAGTGGTAGTGGTAGTGGTAGTGGTAGTGGTAGTGGTAGCGGTAGTGGTAGTGGTAGCGGTAGTGGTAGTGGTAGTGGTAGTGGTAGTGCTAGTGCTAGTGCTAGTGCTAGTGGTAGTGGTGGTAGTGGTAGTGGTAGTCTGGTAGTCTGGTAGTCTGGTAGTCTGGTAGTCTGGTAGTCTGGTAGTCTGGTAGTCTGGTAGTCTGGTAGTCTGGTAGTCTGGTAGTCTGGTAGTGGTAGTGGTCGTAGTGGTAGTGGTAGTGGTAGTGGTAGTGGTAGTGGTAGTGGTAGTGGCAGTAGTAGTAATAGTAGTAGTAGTAGTAGTAGTAGTAGTAGTAGTAGTAGTAGTAGTAGTAGTAGTAGTAGTAGTAGTAGTAGGAGTAGGAGTAGGAGTAGGACTAGGACTAGGAGTAGGAATAGGAACCGAAGCCCTTAAACCCCTACAGGCCGAAGATCCGACAACTTCATTCGGCCTTCAGGTTTGAGGGTTTAGGACTCAGGGTCTAAACCTTCTCGCACCCTGAACTTAAAACTCTACGCCCCAACCCAAATCCCAAAACCCCTGAACCCCTAAACCCCAAAACCCTAAACCCGAAACCCTAAGCCCAAAACCCTAAACCCCAAAACCCTATACCCGCAGCCCTACACACAGGACCCGAGCATGGCAAGGATAAGGAGCGTCAGACTGAAAGCCGCTTCTCCATGCCTCCGGCTCGAAAGAAACGCGTGGTGGAGACGCAGGAGGCCAGAGTTTGTGTAGGGTTTAGGGTTTCGGTTTGGGACTTTGTGTTTAGGGTGTAGGGCTTAGGGGTTTAGGGGTTTAGGGGTTTAGGGCTTAGGTTTGAGGGGTTTAGGAGTTTAGGGTGTGCGGCTTAATTAGGGGGTTTAAGGTATAGAGCTGCAGGGTTTAGGGGTTTTGGGCTTAGGGTTTAGGCTTTCGGGTGTAGGGTTTAGGGGTTTAGGGCATAGGGTTCGGGAGTTCTGGGGTTTGTTTTGAATATGGACGCCCTGAAGTATGATAGGATTTTGAACTCTGTTCGTTTCTGGTTTAGGGTCCCGGGTGTAGGGTTCAAAGAGGGGGTTCAGGGCTGTGGGTTTAGGGTTTCAGGTGTAGGGTTTAGGGGTTTAGCGGTTTGGAGCTCGGGGTTTAGGTTAGAAGCTGCCCCCACCCTGTAATAGTGGTATAATAGGAATTTAATAGGGCCCTAATATAATCCTATATAATCCTTATGGTCACTATTACAGGGTGGGGGCAGCTTCTAAGGTGTAAGGCTTCGGGGTTTAGGGCTTTGGGGTTTCGGGTGTGGGACCTAGGCATGCCTAGTCCTTCAAGGGGTTCCTATATTATGGGAGTTTCCGAAAATTAGGGGTACCGGGTACCTTATATTGGGTCCCTTATAATAAGGATCCTACTATTTAGGATACTATATGAGGGTCCCCTATTTCCGGAAAGTCCCATATGATAGCTTTCGGGCGAATGTGCAAACTATATACATCTACATATACCGGACATACCCTTACATCGTAAGCCCTATAAGCCCTCGTGGAACCTTTAACCCCAAACCCTAAACCCTAAGCCTAAAACCCGAAAGCCCTAAACCCCAAACCCGAAAGTCTGTGTCGGAAGCCCCAGGTGAGGAAGCTGGGCCGTCGGAGGAGGCCGAAGCGTCCAAGGGAGGAGGACCAGCTTAGAACGGCTTTGAGGCTTTGTTGGTTGGGTGGGGTTTAGGGTTTAAGATTTTAGGGTTTAGAGTTTAGGGTTTAGTGGGGTTGAGGCCTTCAGGCTATGGGGTAGGGTTTAGGGTTTTCGCCAGCGCAGCTTAAAACTCATCACCTGGGTCGCTGTAGCCCTGCATGAACTGGCGCAGAGCCCAGCAAGATGCGGGCGTTATCCTCGGAATTCTACACCCCAAACATCTCAACTCTAAACCGCTAGGATTCTGACACAAGGCTTTGGGATTTTGTTGCCGAGGTCAGTTGTCGCAAGTTGTTGTCGCAAGTTTCTGGTACTTCGGGCAGTAATATTCCCGTTCTTTGGATTCTTTGAGGGTTTTGGGTTTAAGGGCTTGGGTTTGGGACAGCAGGCCATCTTGCGTGGTCGTGGCTGTGAGCACGAATCCAGAGTCTTCAACCTTATCATATAGGAGTGGGAATAATTAACATCATTCTTACTTTTTTAAAAAACTAGAGTAATACCACACTGCTACAATATAGTCTAGCTCACAGCCTATTCTAACCAATAAGGTCCCTATATCATACACTGCTTCCGTTTCATACTCTGCAGGACGCCAGCGAGTATGTTGAGGTGTTTGTTGATGAGACGGACGAGCCTCCCGTCGCTGCATTGTGGGTTCGAGGTTCAGATTTAGTACCCTAAGCCCCCTAAACCCTAAGCCCCACCTCCTGAACCTCAAACCCTGAGACCCTGAACCTCAAAAATCCGACAACGCTGAAACCCCAAACCCTAAAACCCCAAAATAAATTAGTAGAGCAGCGGTTTGGGTGCCTCTCCACCCTGAACCCTAAACCCTGCATGAGCTCTAGAACCCGGAAACCTAAAGCCTAAAGCCCGGAACCCTGCTAAGCCCTCGAGCCGCACTAAGAGACCCTAAACCCCTACAGTAGAAGCCAGAAAGTTGGAATATCATGATCGTAACCCCTTTAAGGTAAATTATAGGGATCCTACCATTAATCCATATTCCAACTTGCTGGAGTTCCCTCTACATCTCACCACCCCGAACCCTGAAGCTCTAAACCCGAAAACGCGAAGCCTTCGTAGCTTGTGCCTGTTGAACCGTAGGGACCCGAAAAGGACATAAGCATAAGCGTTTTATAGGGATATCACTACCTTATTGGGCTTTGTTATAATGGGGGTTATTTGGGATATCCCTCTGCTCATTCTTGCTTATGTGCCTGTTTGGGGCCGTAAAATCTCTGACGCTGAGGTGGGCATGGGCTGACGAGAAGCGCGAGGAGGAGGCGGCAGTTGAGGCTTTGTGCTTCGGAGGCCTCAAAAGGTGGGATGAAGGTGGGTAGGATCAAGGATCCCTTATATAAGGACGCTCATTTGGGAATATCCCACCTACCTTCATCCCACCTTTTGAGGCCTCCGAATGCTTAGATTTGGGTAGCTCTCTGGTACCGTTTAAGATCCTTTTCAGAAGTCTGCCGTACTTGTGGGGATTTCAAGGAAGCATGCATAACATATATTTGTATGTATAAAGTTTCGCATGGTATCTTGTCGAGATCGTGTATGTACATGGTTGCAGCAGTGAGACTATCACAGCAGATGCGATGCGAGGGCACAGTTTCAACTGGGACGCCTTATGATGTCGCTGATGCTACAAATGGAGATCATGGTCTCAGTCGAGACTTCTGTTGATGAGACCCTGCAGCAGAGTCACTCTTACAAATGTTTGGTGGTCTGCCACACAAGTGTGCACGTGGAAGACAAGTTGCGTTGCGAGCATGGGCGACATGCTTGAAGCCATTTGTGGACGAGGATGAGTATTGCTTGGGTATGGACAGCTGCTGAGGCAGCGATGCCGCTGTTAATTTCCAATTGATACTCCTGAGTCTCGAAGCGTTGAAGCTGAGTGGTCTTCTTGCCATATGGGGTTGAATGCCATGGGGTACAATGGCGACTAGGACAGGTGGCGTCTGAAACGTGGCAGCGCGGTGCATGTTGTGTCATGTGTTGTTTCCTTGGTTCAGCCTTCGCGATGCACATGTTCCTAGTCATGCGCCTCTTCTTACGGCCCCTGTGCAACAAGCAACGTTTGGTCGCCTAACTGGCCCAACCATGCTCAAGCAGCAGATCCTCACGTGACTAGCGTCCTGAGGCGGCATTCTCGTGTTCTTCATGTTGTCGGTGCGTTGCGCTGTGTCGAGAACCGTGAAAGTGAAGTTGCGAGCAAGGGGTTGAGGCTTCATGAAATTGCATGTTTGGACGAGGATGAGTATTGCAAGGGTATGGACAGCTGCTGAGGCAGCGATGCCGCTGTTAATTTCCAATTGATACTCCTGAGTCTCGAAGCGTTGAGGCTGAGTGGTCTTCTTGCCATATGGTGTTGAATACCATGAGGTCTTTGGGGCGGCTTGCACAGGTGGCGGCTGAAAGTGACAGCATGGTGCACGTGGGTCATGTGTTGTTGCCTTGATCGTTGCATGTTGGCGCGGGGGCAGCCTTCGCGATACTCATGTTTCTATTTTTTTCTTCAGTTCCTATCGGCTCGGTGCAGCAAGAAACGATTGATTTGAATGCATGTTTGGACGAGGATGAGTATTGCAAGGGTATGGACAGCTGCTGAGGCAGCGATGCCACTGTTAATTTCCAATTGATACTCCTGAGTCTCGAAGCGTTGAAGCTGAGTGGTCTTCTTTCTTGCCATATGGTGTTGAATACCATGAGGTCTTTGGGGCGGGTAGGACAGGTGGCGGCTGAAAGTGACAGCATGCATGTGGGCCTTGTGGTGTTGCCTTGGTCGTTGCATGTTGGCGCAGGGCAGCCTTCGCGATACTCATGTTTCTATTTTTTTTCTTCAGTTCCTATCGGCTCGGTGCAGCAAGAAACGATTGATTTGAATGCATGCGTGGGCGAGGATGAGTATTGCTTGGGTATGGACAGCTGCTGAGGCAGCGATGCCGCTGTTAATTTCCAATTGATACTCCTGAGTCTCGAAGCGTTGAATCTGAGTGGTCTTCTTGCCATATGGTGTTGAATACCATGAGGTCTTTGGGGCGGGTAGGACAGGTGGCGGCTGAAAGTGACAGCATGCATGTGGGCTTTGTGTTGTTGCCTTGGTCGTTGCATGTTGGCGCAGGGCAGCCTTCGCGATACTCATGTTTCTATTTTTTCTTCAGTTCCTATCGGCTCGGTGCAGCAAGAAACGATTGATTTGAATGCATGTGTGGACGAGGATGAGTATTGCTTGGGTATGGACAGCTGCTGAGGCAGCGATGCCGCTGTTAATTTCCAATTGATACTCCTGAGTCTCGAAGCGTTGAATCTGAGTGGTCTTCTTGCCATATGGTGTTGAATACCATGAGGTCTTTGGGGCGGGTAGGACAGGTGGCGGCTGAATGTGACAGCATGCATGTGGGCCTTGTGGTGTTGCCTTGGTCGTTGCATGTTGGCGCAGGGCAGCCTTCGCGATACTCATGTTTCTACTTTTTCTTCAGTTCCTACCGGCTCGGTGCAGCAAGAAACGATTGATTTGAATGCATGTTTGGACGAGGATGAGTATTGCTTGGGTATGGACAGCTGCTGAGGCAGCGATGCCGCTGTTAATTTCCAATTGATACTCCTGAGTCTCGAAGCGTTGAAGCTGAGTGGTCTTCTTGCCATATGGTGTTGAATACCATGAGGTCTTTGGGGCGGCTTGCACAGGTGGCGGCTGAAAGTAACAGCATGGTGCGACCCTACTAAGTCCCTAAACCCTAAACCCTGTTCAGCCTTGAAGCCAAGAAGCCTAAAGATCCAGAGCCTGCCACCCAGAAGGTCTCGATAACCTCCAAGTCCCAGTATGGAACCCTGCATATTCAATTCTCAAGAAAAATAAGAATGTAATAAGAGATTCAAGGAGAATAATCATACAATAGTTATAGCGGTAATAGCAAGACTAGTACTAATAATAGCATGCCTTACGGCCTCACAGTGGCTTCTGAAGCTATGTATTGTAATGAACTGCAAGGCCTTCATCCAATTCTGAAGGCTTCTCAGTTAGAAGTGTAGCCATTGTAATCTCTCCAAGGGTAAAAGGAGGACCCTTAATAAGGACCCCTAGGTATATACCCTTAATACTGTTCTTTTTCCCGTTATATAGCCCATTATACCCGTTAAGGGTCCCTCCTTTTCCCCTAAACCCCCCTAACCCCCAAACCCCTAAACCCTAAACCCTATATACCTTTATAGAATCCCTATAGATCCCTTTTAAAAGGTCCTCCTTTTCCCCTTTGAATCTCGCTCGCTCCCTGCCGCCAGAAGCCACTGGAAGAGCCGGAGGGGTATGCCGACCAGGAGCCACAGGAGGCGCCGATATACTCAGTGAATCCTAGGGTTCCTTTAAAGCGATCTATAAGGCTTCCTTTAATGGGATCTATAAGGGATCTATTAGGGTTTAGGGTTGATGATAGAAATCCTGCATGACCCATTATAGGGAATATACCATATTTCCCATCGTTAAGGGTCCTTAAGGTAATGCAGGATTTGTATCATCAAAGGGGTTTGGGTTTAGGGTTTAGGGTTAACCTAGGATGCCCAGTAGCACCCTTATTCCCTTTTTTCAGTCCTAGGTTCCTTAAAAAGTTACCCAATACACCAAAAAGGAAGCCCTGTTTATTCCTAGGTTACTGGGCATCCTAGTAACTGGTTTAGGGTTCAGGGTTTGGTGGTTTAGGTTTAAATTTCATGCTCAGGGTTAAGGGTCTAGGGAGCGGAGCCGTCAGTTGAGGAGGAGTCGGCCGCTGGTGAATGCGACTTGATGAAGCAGGGAAGATGAACACCCCAGAGGGTCCAAGTACTCCCTATTTTAGGACTTTAGGGCCTTTTTCGGTACCAAAAACCATAAATAAGGAGTACTTGGACCCTCAGGGCACCAACCGTAATCGAGGGGAACACAGCAATTGGAACAGCGCTTTGGGCGCATATCAGACTCTGCTTATGCAGGAACAACGGTGGGAATGCTGCTTCAAATATCGAGACCTTGTGTGTTGTGCGTAAGAAAGACCCTTTAAAAGCGACGGGAAAGAACATCAAGAACAGTTGAGAGTGTTCCTTTTGTAAGAAGGGAGGAACAGAGCACGAACAGCGAGAACAGGTCCACGTGGAAAGTTTCTCGTTCTTGGGATTCTTGGGAGTAGTAAGATCGCTGAGTGAACTAAGCAGGCCGATCAGCATATACATCATAAGAAGATGACATGTTTGGCCAAACTTGCCCCACCAAGAGCATGACAGATAGTTTTGCCCGTCCTTGTTATCATCTTCCTCGTCGTCGCTGTCGTCGTGGACTAAAGCTCGGAACCATGAACCCTAAACCACTCTGACGTGAATGATCAAGCAACCTTCGAACAACACAGAGTGCCGCCAGCACCTAGACCGGCAGATTTCTTCGAGCACTTCTGGACCGAGTATCCAGTACCTTGACCCCACAAAGCCTATCCGGCCTATCCTTTAGAACATAACCCCTAAACCCTGCACTTCTGGACCGAGTATCCAGTACCTTGACCCCACAAAGCCTATCCTTTAGAACATGACCCCTAAACCCTAAACCCCTAAGAACCCTAATTATCTTACTAAAGCCTAATGCCGAAAGCCCAGACGCTAAAGCCTGAGGCTCAAATTTTAAATCTTAAGCCTTAAAGGCCGCAGCCTGCCTAGGGCCCCCCCCCCAAAAAAAAAACTACCTTGTACTGTAGTCCCTAATTACCTCTGAATGAGAACATTAGGGCCCTTCAAAGGGAACTTGGGGGCTCCTGGCAAGCCTGCCTTAACCTACCAAAACCTATTTTTTGTAGGGTCCTCTAAATTCCGTAGTAGGGTTTATAATGAGAACCTGCAAAAAAGTACGGTTTCGTAGTTTAAGGCAAGCTCTGAACAGGTAGACAATGTGGTGTCCAAATAGGTAAACCTCGGAGCAAAAGCCTCCACCCCCCCCAATGGGTTTTTGGTTCTTCGTTAATGATATAAACCCTGCATTACCCATAATAAGGAATATAACATAATTCCCATAGTTTAGTAGGGTCCTTAGGGTAGTGCAGGATTTATATCATCAATCGTTAAGCTAGGTTCTTAAATGTTTCTCATTGGCTTCTTATCGGGGTACGCTGGGGGGTCATTATCGGATGATGTGACAGGCCGCAATGCCATCCACATCAGGTGGCTCAGGATTCTGCTGGGATGCAGGGGTTGGGGGCAGTCTTCGTGATCAAGAGGCTTTACGTTCTAAGTTTAGGCTTAAAGCACCTTTGTTTCTAGGGGGACCTTTGACCTGTTTCGGGTGAATTACGTATGGCGGCTTCTCCACACCTGTGGAAAGCCTGGAATCCTCGAAAAATTAGTTGAGACTTTACGAAGCCTTTCTTGAGCCCCTGTATGCCGGAATGATTACGACTGCCATTCCGCAGGGTTCCTGCTATGACGAGGACCCAGAGTAAGCCCTTATTCCCTTTTTATGGTTCAGGTTGCCCTATAACACCCTTTTAACCAAAAAGGACACCCTTTTTATGCCTAGGTTACTCTTAGTCTAGTAGCTTTATATACACCCCAAGCCCTGTCCGCACATACTACGGCCCCAAAGTATTTAAATGGGAACTACTTCAAGCCCAAAGTTAGTACTGTTGGGCTACATGGACCCTAAGGGACGGTGGCCTAACCCCTGGCGCATGACCTCGAAACCATGCTTTTAATAGCCTAGATCCCCAATACTCAACCTTTAAACTTTTGGGTTCTTGTAGTCAAGTAGGAATCGGAAAGTTTAACCTTTTATTTCTGTGGTTTATTGGGGGCGTAAGATAAAGCGCTTGATAGGGTCTTTATCGCGGGTTTAGGAACAGGTCATAATGGTGCGTATAGGCGTATACTATAATATCCCCGGAGACCTTGTTTTACCTGTTCAGGCCCTCATTAACTGTCGGGTAACAGACAAAGTCACACCACCATCCCTGCAGGGTAGTCGATTTGGTAACCTGCACTCTGGTCGGGTAGCATTATCTCAAAACGTCAACCTTTGCATAGCCTTCAGCTCCTTCGGAAAATAAAGACCGGCGGGTCGACAAATACTGCCATCATGGAATTAGGCTCCAAAAGACCATTGCAACCAAGGTTTTGGGCTACCTCTTTCCATACTAGTAGTATCTGCAGGCCCTGTTGGAAGGAATAACACAGATCATGCCCCGAGGCCAACCATACTGTAACCCTGCTCTGAACCCTTGCGAGTCTAAACCCCAACCCCAAACCTGATGCCAAGATCCCAAGTCTGAACCAAAGTATCCAAAACCCACCTGGACACCACAGAACCTGCCTCAGCAGGGTCAGCAGGTCGGGTCATAATGTAGGGGCCCAAAACAATGACCAATACTATTTTGGGGGTTCCTTGTTGTAATTATATCATAATCGGATAGGCCCCAAAACCCTATTTTAATTAAGGCCAATAAATTAAACCCTTATTGCAACCCTTAACGGAACCCTTAACGGACCCTTTAGAGGAACCGTATTGTAATTTATGGCTCCTATATTACCAGGATTTCAGGTTTCGAGGCTTCAGAGCCTCTTTCAGCTTCTTGCAGGAGTCAGCAGCAGCAGCCCGACCCTCGCGGCAAAGCTCAGGCAAATCTGGATCAGTTTTGCGTAGGGGCCTTAGTATTTAGAATAGGGTTTTGGAGTAGATTATACTATAACAACAATAACGAACCCCCAAAATAAAAGATAGTAAGCTATTTCGGCTCCTACAGTGTGTTTGGGGCTCCTGATTTCATGTTAGGGTTCGGACTTCGACAGTGAGGTGCAGATACATGTAGTATTTATACTTGTAATCAATTAGAACTATAGTAAGGAAACCTTGGTGGATATGTTTGAAGGGGCAAATTCTAAGTCCCTCGAACCCTAGACTACCTCTGAACTAGGACCCAGAGTGAGCCCTTATTCCCTTTTTGTTAGGGTTCAGGTTCCCATATAACCACCTTTATGCCAAAAAGGGCACGCTTTTTATTCCTAGGTTCCTCTTAGGTCTAGCAGACCCCTAAACCCGAACCCCTAAAGCCCTAAAACCTTAAACCCTAAACCCGAAACCCTGAACCCTAACCCCTGAACACCCCTAAGCACCCCTAAGCACCCCTGAACCCCTAAACCCCTAAACCCGAAGCAGACTCCCCTTGAGGAAACCAGAGAGCCCCATACCCCTTAATAAAGGAATATAGCTTAAATCATAATATGAAGCCCTATATAGGGGTTTCCGAAAATTCGGGGTACCTTATTCTGGGGTCCTTATAATAGGGATCCTACTATTTAAGGTACTATAAAAAAAACCTTAATCAAGGGGTACCTTAGGGCTCTCTGGGGAACCCTCGCAACTTCCGCGAAGGCCGACTCCCAAGTTACGGGGGAAGCCGCAGAGCGCACCGGCGCTGAGGCTTTCCGGGGGTTTAGGGGTTTGAGGGGTTGGGGGTTTGGGCTTTAGGGCTTTAGGGGTTTAGGGGTTTTAGGGGGTTTAGGGGTTTTAGGGGTTTTAGGGGTTGGGTTTAGGGGTTTAGGGGTTTAGGGTTTGGGGGGTTGGGGGTTTGGGCTTTAGGGCTTTAGGGGTTTAGGGGTTTTAGGGGGTTTAGGGGTTTTAGGGGTTGGGTTTAGGGGTTCAGGGTTTGGGGGTTTTAGGGGGTTTAGGGGTTTTAGGGGTTGGGTTTAGGGGTTCAGGGTTTGGGGGGTTTAGGGGTGTTTAGGGGTTTAGGGGTTTGGGTTTAGGGGTTTAGGGCTTTAGGGGTTTAGGGCTTTAGGGGTTTAGGGGTTTAGGGTTTGGGGGGTTGGGGGTTTGGGCTTTAGGGCTTTAGGGGTTTAGGGGTTTTAGGGGGTTTAGGGGTTTTAGGGGTTTTAGGGGTTGGGTTTAGGGGTTTAGGGGTTCAGGGTTTGGGGGGTTTAGGGGTGTTTAGGGGTTTAGGGGTTTGGGTTTAGGGGTTTAGGGCTTTAGGGGTTTAGGGCTTTAGGGGTTTAGGGTTTTAGGGCTTTAGGGCTTTAGGGCTTTAGGGCTTTAGGGGTTTAGGGGTTTCGGGGTTCAGGGTTTTAGGGGTTCAGGAGTTTTCGGGGTTTTAGGGGTTTAGGGGTTCAGGGTTTAGGGGTTTAGGGGTTTTAGGGGTTTTAGGGGTTTAGGGGTTTAGGGGTGGTTTAGGGTTTGGGGGGTTTAGGGGTGTTTATGGGTTTAGGGGTTTGGGTTTAGGGGTTTAGGGCTTTAGGGGTTTAGGGCTCTAGGGGTTTAGGGTTTTAGGGCTTTAGGGCTTTAGGGGTTAGGGGTTTAGGGGTTTAGGGGTTTAGGGGTTTTGGGTTTTTTAGGGGTTTAGGGTTCCGAGCGCCGGGAGTTGAGAGCAATGCAGAAGCCTGAAGAATCAGTATTCCTTGTCATAAATACCCTAAGGGTCCAAGTACCTAATTATCATATACTCTCCAAAATAGTAACCTACATAGCAACTATCCTAAACCTAAGTACCTATTCATTGGGTCCTTGGGACCCTTGGGGATATGGTACACCATTTCAAGAAGCCCGTCCCAATGTTCAAGCCCATGTATGAGTTGCCCGCAGGCTTCTGTATTTCTTACTTGGGATCCTCATATTAAGAACCCCCCCTACTTGTTCAGGTTTCCATCTTGTGTATGCTGGGTTTGTCTGTGAGGAAAGGGGTGTCACGAGCGGGGGTCTGCATGGGTAGTTATCTCAGTTAGGTTCCCTCAACAGGGGTCCTATTTTGTATTCGTTTTGGGACCTGAAAACGGACGCCAAGTTAGAGAACTACACACATGCCGATCCAAAGAATATTCTGACATGATGGGCATGAGCTTCTTCAGCTATGTTACAAGCGTTGACTCGCCACTTGGGTTTTTTTGGGGTATTTCTTATTGCAGGTTAATGTGGAATGGGGTCCAGGGCTTAACTTAGGACGTCAAGAGAATTCATGATGCCCCTAAACCCTGAGCAGGCTTAGGGTCAAATCGGCACATGTTCTACGGTTTAGGGTTTAGGGTTTTAGGGCTCCAGGATTCCGGAATGTATCATACAGCATACAGCTTTCGAAGACTTGGGTGTCGGGTGCATGTGTGTTGACTTGGTCCTTGCAGGCAGAGTGCTTGCTGTCCAGGCTCAGCCCACACGCGACCCCAAACCACACACCCTATACTTCTACGTACTGTGTACTTGAAAATACATAGAAAACTATACATTTTGTCAAACGCCGTGTGCTCGTATGTAATTTTGGTTTAAATTAAAGCTATAAATTGTCTGCCTTCGTTTTCGTGCAATTGAAAGCTTTAGACCCCATGTCGTGACGACTTACGGACAGGTTATAGCCTTGAAAAATCCTTTCTTCCATGCTGTATGCAGCATACGATATTCTGTTTACTCACAGCTTCATACTATATTTTGCATTCTCTCGTGCTACATACTACTTGCTATGCGATGTTCTGTAGACTTCATGGTTTATACAGTATACGGTATATGATATACTACTGGCTATACAGTACAACTACATGCTTACTGCGTGTTATGGCCCATTTCCTACATGCTCCGGTGACTATGAGCTCCATGACTAGTACTAGCTGCTATCTATGATCCACTATCCGCTATACGCTATACACCAAATATTTCTCGTTTCCAGTACAATTTACGAGACGCACTAGACCACTGTACAATAGACACTGTACAGCAGACCATGGTGTTCATTGGACACTTTTCACTAGCTCTGTATGCTTTACGGCCTGTACAACGTCAGCTGTCTTCTGGCTGCGACTTCCGGCTTGCCATTTGCCATATGCTGCAGCCGATGATATCAAACTTCACAATAGTGTACTATGCTATACCATACTACACCACACCATACCATATTCTGGTTAGTGTTTGCTAAATGCTATAGACGATTGATTGCGTACCATAGCTGGAATCTTACATGATACCACACCGTATGTCGTAGAGTATGAAATAAGGTAAGACAGCATAGCATAACAAAGCATAGCATATTTCATTGTAGAAGAATATAGCATGAACAAGATGTAGTCTGTGAACATCTAATGCAACATAATGCTAGGACCCAGAGTAGGCCCTTATTCCCCCTTTTTTTAGGGGTTCAGGTTCCCTTATAGGCCTCTTTAAACCAAAAAGGGCACCCTTTTTATTCCTAGGTTACTCTGAGGTCTAGCAGACCCCTAAACCCGAACCCCTAAACCCCCAAAGCCCTAAAGCCCTAAACCGCTAAACCCTAAAACCCGAAACCCTAAACCCCAAACGCCCCTAAATCGATAATGCAACGCATCCTTATAATGGCCCTTATAGTAGCCCTTACAGACCCCTTTAAAGTACCCCTATTCTATAGTTATAGTTATTAAGGCCCCTATAATGTAACGCATCTCACCACCTTGTCGAAGGAGGCTAGCAGACCCCTAAACCGAACCCCTAAACCCCTAAACCCCTAAAGCCCTAGCCCTAAACCGCTAAACCCTAAAACCCGAAACCCTAAACCCCAAACGCCCCTAAATCGATAATGCAACGCATCTCACCACCTTATCGAAGGTCCTCGGCTCCGGTGCCTTCCTCGGCGCCCAGCAAAGCGAGGCGGCTGGAGGAGGCCGCGTGGGTTTAGGGGACTTTCGGGTTTTGGGGACTTTGGGGTTTTTAGGGACTTTGGGAACTTTAGGGGACTTTGGGGATTTAGGGGACTTTCGGGTTTTGGGGACTTTGGGGTTTTAGGGACTTTGGGGTTTAGAGGACTTTTGGGTTTCGGTGATTTCGGGTGGAGGAGACACCAACGCGCAAGCTTCATCCAGCATGGACCGTGAATCCTTGAGCCCTAGAAAGAAAATTCTACAAGTAGTGGGAGTTTCCGAAAATTAGGGGTGCCTTATTTTGGGGTCCTTATAACAAGGATCCGACTATTGGGGTACTATATTAGGGTCCGTCCCCTATTTTCGGAGGCTCAAGCGGGAAGCCCGAGAAGCCAAAACCCTTCAACCCGGCCCAAGGCGCAAAGTCCAAGCGAAACGGTGCCACCGCGCCGCAGCAGCGACACGCAGGCGGCAGGGGATGGTGCAGCCTCCCAGAGACTCCAAGATCCCTTAATTAAGGAATATACCTTAAATTATAGTAGGATCCTAAGTATAATTTCAGGTCTATTCCTTAATCAAGGGATATTGGGCTTTTAGGTTTCTCGAATTCCGAGGTCTGGCCTGCAAGGATGTGTAAGTGTAAGTGCTTGTTCACGGCTCGTTTCCAAAAGGCAGGTTGGGAGTGTCGTACGCTTGATGATACAAATCCTGCATTACCTTAAGGACCCTAGACTGTGGGAATTATGGCATATTCCTTATTATGGGTAATGCAGGATTTATATCATCAACCGTATGTCCCAAAGCCTGCATTTTTCGGATTATCAGGAGAGTTGTTAGATCCGCTTTACACCGATTTGGGGACCGACAAATCTTGATCCCCAGCTCAGAATCTGAGCCTCGAAGGTAATTCGGGTATGTCAGTTCTAGTAAAAGTCTAAGCACGACATATGGAATAGAAGGGATTGCATATCCCATCTAGTCCACATGTCGCACTTTAAACGAACTGGTACACCCAGGCTAGTGTTCGATTTCAGGCACTTTTGTTACCTTCAAGACCCTAAACCCTAAACCCGATTCGTCAGGTGCCATCAAGCAAGCCGCCAGTCTCTGCAACTCGTCTATTTGGGTCCCGGTGCTGTGCTGAGACCGGGGACTTCCGCATGTCCGCGCGACTTAAATTTCTCATACAGTCATACAGGGCTAGTTGAGGGGGCCTAAACCCTAAACCCCGAAACCCCCAGACCCCTAAACCCCAAACCACTGAACCCCTATAATTATCCCGAAACCCGAACATCAACTGGAAGCCTGTTGTGATGTCGGGTTGGTGCGTCCTGTGCCCAGTGCCTAAGAGCCGCCGGCCTTGAAGAGCCAGCCCTGCGGCCCGTGAACCACGGGTTTTAGGGTCTGGGTTCACGATCAGGGTGAAAAGTTCAGAATGGTTTTTCACAAATGTTTAAGCTAGTAATATCATTCCTTAGGATTGCCTTTCACCAGTATACGATCATGTTCATATGCCTCCCCCCCTCAAAAAAAACGCTGTTCTCGGTGGTAAGACCCCTATCTTAAACCTGAGTCCCACAATCCCAACGAGACCCGGAGCCCGAAAGCCCAAACCCTGTGAAACCCCGACATGGCTCTTTTAAAGTCCTACGGTTGATGATAGAAATCCTGCAGTACCATAAGGACCCTAAACTGTGGGAATAATGGTATATTCCTTGTTATGGGTAATGCAGGATTTATATCATCAACCGTATGAAACCGTATAGATCCCTTCACGGTCCTGTGAGCCGCTCAAAGACGAAGGACAGTATATCATAGGAGGCCAAAAGGGGTTTTAGCCTATGGGGGTTTAGTAGGGATTAGGGTTCCCATAATAGGGTTCATATTAAGGAATCCCTACCCCAAGAATCTTAAACCACCCTTTTGGCCTCCCTTCAGTATAGAAGAAGCATCTGCTACAAACCCTGAGCCCAAAGCTTAAACCCCAGACCCTAGATCCTAACCCTGAACAGGCTTCATGACCTTTGGTCCTAGGCAGTATCAGGGACACCCCTTAAACGGGGACCCTACTTCTGGCTCTCTTAAAAAGGACCTTATTGACAGGATCTACATCCCCAACGGTCCCCCTAATCCTACGCTTGATGATATAAATCCTGCTTTACCTTAAGGACCCTAAACTAGGGGAATTATGGTATATTCCTTATTATGGGCCATGCAGGATGTATATCATCAACCGTCGTTGCTCTCTCCGAACAGAGGTTGGAAAGCCGCCGCCTCTGCCGCCCAAGCAGGCATGGGCAGTTTAGGGTTTTGTGTTTAAGGTCCATTGCCACCAATGCAGGGTTTGGGGACGCCTGCTTTGCGGCTTTCCTGTTTGTCTTTACGGTTCAGGGTTTATATAGGTTTTTGCGTGATGGGCTTTGAGGCACCAGAGGGTCTACCTTCCTTACCAGGCTTACCATCAATCATCGACAACCACCGTCACCAAAATTATCGCCTACAGCACAGGGTATATATAGCGGGGGGCCCTAAACCCTAAACCCTCCTAGATCGTCCTAAGCCCAAGCAGGGCGACCTGCGGCTTTAGACTCATCAGCCACAGCGAGAGGTGCCCCGAAATCTCTGGCGCATGGCGCGGAATCCTGTCGCTGCCCGCACAGTGCAGCCCTCGCTGGAGGCGAAAAGGCGCGGGTTTTCGCAGTTCGGGGTTTAGGGTTTAGGGTTTAGGGTTTAGGCTGGAGGGTTTGGAGCTAAGAAACCCTAAACCCTAAGCCCGAAACCCTGAGCTTTAGAGTTTACCTACTGACAGGATCAGAGAACTCAGAGAAGGTGGTAGTAAGTAAACCATGTAGGAGATCTTCAATTGGGGCACCCTGAACCCCATAGTGAGAACTATAACCTACGTACTATCTCCGACTAATTCACCCGATCCTTACCCTAAACCCTAAACCCTTAAAATCGAGCACACCTAACTTCAGAATCTGCCTAGAATCAACGGAGCCAGTGCTCGGTAGTTTGAGGTATCTCGCACAATAGCGAGGTGTTGGGCTCCCTTGTTATATGGGAGCTTCCGAAAATTAGGGGTACCTTATTTTGGGGTCCCTATAATAAGGATCCTACTATTTAGGGTATTAGATTAGGGTCCCCAGTTTTGGGACACTCCCATATGGTCTGGGGGTTTAGGGCATTCTGCTGTAAGATTCAGGTTTTTGACGGCAGCGGTTCGTCCAAAGTGGCAAGGAAAGGAGAAGGATGAGGAGAATGAGGAGGTGAAGAAGGGCTAAGAGAGCGAAAGGGCAGCAACAGCAGAGCAGTTGCAAGCGTCGCCCAAGTAAAGTAAACGCCAGAAAGTTGGAATATGATTATCGTAACTCCTTTAAGGTAAATTATAGGGTATCCTACCATTAATCCATATTCCAACTTTCTGGAGTTCCCTTTAAGTTGTGGTAGTTGCAGCAACGGCATCACAGGCTTTTTGTCGAATGCCCTCTATATGGAATGTTCCAATTTGGAGGATGCATTTTTGGGGTGTCTTCTGCTCCGGATATTTTCGAACCCCCAAACCGAAACCTTGAACCGGCGTGCTTGGAGGTGCGTCACGATAAGCATTGAACGGCCGTGCACCTGAAGCTGATCACAAAGCATACAAAGGGAACTCCAGAAAGTTAGAATATGGTTTCAGGGTAGGATACCTTATAATTTACCATAAAGGGTTTAGGATAATCATATTCCAACTGTCTGGCTTTTACTTTAAAGGTAGGAGCCACAGGGTACGTAACTGAGGCCCATGCGCATGCGTCATAGCCATTTCCTTAATTGCAGCTTAGAACACAATCGGCTGTCCAGGTTAAGAAGGCAGCAGCTGCAGCAACGAGGCTTAGAAGAGAGAAGAGCCAAGGAGAAGGCCCAAAGGCAGGCCCAACAGAAGAATGACAACGGCGTCTTGTCCGCATGCCGGGGGCTCTCAGGAGCTTTTATAGTGTGTTTCTTTTTTCCAGTTGTTTTTTTAAGCCTCTAAACCCTGAACCCTAAACCATTATTACAGTTTTGGGGCCACCGACCAACTCCCGCCCAGACCTGCTTCCTGCCCTGCCGACCCTACCGACCCTTCCTTTTCTACTTACGTACATACGTACTTACCCAGCTAGCTAGCTAGCTAGCTAGCTAGCCTACCGCCTACCTACCTATCCACGAGCATGCATGCATACATACACGTGTACGTATACATACACACATACGTGCATACGTGCATACATACATACATACATACATACACACATACATACATACATACATACATACATACATGCATACCTACGTAGTTACCTACGGACGTATGTACGTACGTACATACACACACACATGCATGCATGTATGCATGCATACAATTGCATGCATACGCACATACACAGATACCGACAGAATGGCACACAAACAGAGACCGACAGACGGCAGACAGGAGACCGGAGACAGGCAGACAAACAGAGTCACACAGCCAGCCAGCCGGCAAGCCAAACGGACAGACCGACAGACCGACGGACAGACAGACAGTCCGGCAGACCGACAGCAGCACAGACAGAGGGACGTACGGACTTACCGACAGACGGATGCACAGACAGACAGTACGTCCGCACACGTAAGTACATACATGCATACGTACAGGTACAGATGCAGCCAGCATGTCTATTCTTGAACACAAGCAGCCACACGAGTGGTTGTTGAAACATGGCCAACTGCATAAACAGTGCTTACATACAAATACACATAGCCACAAAAATAAACATATAGTTGATGAACAACTAGATTAGGTAGGCACATCGGTAGTTGGACTTGGACTTCTTCGTTCTTGCATAAAGAGAGTGAGATTGCGAGAGTGCGAGAGCGAGAGAGCGAGCCAGTCTTCGATCCGTATATGTGTTGAAAGCGCTGTCTTGTGCGCTTCGGTGCTGTTTGCCATTTGCAAGGGTCTCTGTGTGCGTGTGTCTCTCTGTCTCCGTACAACCGCATCTCTGGATCTATCCTCATGCGTACCGGCATTCCCCTACAACCAGACAGTCAAGTAAACATCACTCGACATCGTGCCATCCAGGTGACGGAAAGCAGCACAACGGCTGGAGAGAATGGAAGGAGAAGGATTGGAACGACCGGAAAAGAACGGACAGGTGGAAGGACTGGAAAGACTGGGTGGAACAAGAGGATGGGCAACAGCGCAGCCAAGAAAATTGGAGGAGCTGGAAGGAGTGGGCCGACCGAGAGCAAGCAGAGGACAAGGGCTTGGGGTTTAGGGTTTGGGGGTTTAGGGGTTTAGGGTTTAGGGTTTAGGCTTTAGGGGTTTAGGGGTTTAGGGCTTAGGGTTTCAGGGGTTTAGGGGTTTAGGGGTTTAGGGTTTAGGGTTTGAGGGTTTCGGGTTTCATGGTTTAGAGTTCACGGTTGAAGAGCCCAACGTTGCGGGGGAGAAGTGGTCTTGAAGATTTGGGGCACCACGAGCATGTCTGCTGCCAGTTCTTTGGGACAGTCCGTCCCTGCCACGCTGCAAAACTCTGCAGGTTGCCACAACTTGAAATCTCTAATTAAACCCCAAAGCACCGGAAATCCTAAGCCCTGAAACCCACAGCCCTACCGCCCAAAAAAGCCCCAAAACTCCAAATGCCTGACTTCCCTTAAACACTAAACCCTAAACCCTAAACCTGAAGCCGGATCTGCCTTTCGTCGCTGCGTTTGCCTCGCCTCCAAACGGATATACCTAAGCCCCGTAAGTTTAAGGTTTAGGGTTTAGGGGTTTAGGGTTTAGGGCTGAGGGTGTTTACTATAACACTCAAGTTCCACATTTTTCAACCAACAATGCCCGGAAACCGCTGAAACCTCAAACCCTACATGTGTTCAAGATGCTAGGGTCTCGGACCTGCGGAAACCCCCAAAACCCTAGAACCCTGAAGCACAGAAGAGGATGGGCAAAGAAGTCTGGTCCTTTACCTCAAACCGTACAACCCTAAACTCCCTAAACCCGAAAATCCCGAAAACCCTAAATCCTACAATCCCTAAACCCGAAAAACACGAAAACCCTAAACCCTAAACCCTCAAAAACAAAAAAGCCTTAAACCCCGAAAACCTAAAAGACAAAAAACGCCTTGAAAACCCTAAGACCCGAAAGCCCCAAAGGAGGATGGGCAAGCGAAGTCCGGTGTCAAGCGAAAGCCGGCCTCCGCGCCAGGGGCCGGTTCAAGGCCTGCCATTTTAAGTGTTTTATGGATATAAGGTTTAGGGTTTAGGGTTTAGGGTTTTAGGATATAAGGTGAGGGTTTAGGGTCTAGGGTTTAGTGTTTTATGGATATAAGGTAAGGGTTTAGGGTCTAGGGTTTAGGGTTTTATGGATATAAGGTGAGGGTTTAGGGTCTAGGGTTTAGGGTTTAGGGTTGACAGTTCAGGGCTTGGTTTAGGTTTCGGGTTGAGGGATAGGTTTTCGTGTTTATAGGATAGGTTTTAGGCGGCTTAGGGCTTGCGAAGTCGATTTGAGGTTTCATGATCGATTTTCAGGGTGAGGGCAGTTCAGTTGTTTCTTCAGAGTGCACAGCTTCCGCAACTCCAAACCGTGAGCCGAGTTCGGGAGGATGGCATCATTCTATTCGGATGAAGGGTCGTTAGGACTTAGAGTAGGCCCTTATTCCCCCTTTTTTTAGAGAGTGCAACGCCCTGGTGGCGTGTATTTCTCGGTAATTTAGTGGTTTTCACACGAGTTTTTGCACCCAGAATTTTAAGCGTTGTGTTGCCTCATCCAGGCATTGCACCCTTGATTTTGAGTCTTGGGCATGTCACCAAGTAGGAGTTTGTTGGGGAAGAGGGAGGAGGTTTGCCATCCAGCATCTCCATTGAAGTTGAGGTGCGTGATCTGGCATATCATGTCAAAATCATTACGAATCCATCACAACCCCTGGGTGTGTATCCACATGTGCATCTGACTTTAATGGATGCGTGCTTATGGAAATGTGTATATTTACATGTGCATACGAATGTTGGCCTGTAACTTATTGTATATATCATGTCTTCAACTCGGGAATGAAATTGTGGTATGGGCTGCAGCATAAATGCTAAAAGACTATATTGACAGGCAGACCGTCATCGATGTGTACAACCGCATCTGAAGCCGTGGCGAAAGGAATGTCTACACTCCTACACCTATAAAGCTCTGAGGGGTTTGCCACCTTTGAAAGAGTTTTTGGGTTTGCTACCCATCATCTACTATTGAAGCCTTGGATTGAGAGTGCAACATCGTCTAGTCTGCCTGTATTTGGGAAAACAGTCATCGATTTGAGGATCCAGTTGTGGTTCCGCCACTCATCGAACTTCTACGGGGGGTTTGGCTCATTACATCCATGTGCGGCATTGCCGCATCGCGTTTTAGCCGAATGTCTTCCAATAGAGTTTGGATGCTCTGGACACGCGTCATCCTTTTCGGTACTTGGGTTCGCTACACACTATATATCTTTCGTGAATAAGTGCAGCCCGTGATATGTGCTAAAGTGTTCAAACTCTGGTTTTTATTCTGGTGGTCTCCCAGCATCCCCTACTGTGATTTGCATTTGTAGCTGGGTGGGCCACATGTTTTAAGGATTAGCTTACGGTGTAATAGGGCATGTTAATCAGTTATTCTATTGAGGACCTGTTGTTCGCCATCATCCACCCACTTCCATGTAAATCCCAAAGACAATGTAATTACCCATTTCCGTGATGCACGCAAAGTTATATGTGTGTGTGTATGTATGTATACATGTGTCATCCACCCATAATATGCTGGCAAGGTTCCAATTTACATCGCATGTGCAACTGCAGAGTGGCCTTGCGGTGACATACCCAGGTACTTGCATGTATATCACAAAAAACCTATGTATATATGCATATGCATATATATATATATATATATATAGATATATGCATATACATGTGTGTGCGCGTGCATGAGCTTCCAAAGTTCACGAACTTGTATATGGTTGCATAGGCTTCGAGAGTGCATGAACTTGTATACGTGCATATCTATGTATATATATATATGTACACACACACATATATATATATATATACATGTATATGTAGATGTATATATGTACAGGTATGGAGGACGTGCTTCTACACAGGTTTGAACTTCCGCATCCTGTACCCACCATGCCCATACGGGGTTTGGGATAGGAGCCTGAGGCCCTCCATTTTCCTTTGAGTGCATGGCTGCCTAAATGCTTCATTGTTGCATACACATATGCTCGCATATTTCAGAAATATATCACATGTTTCCGTGATGCTTATGTATGTACGTATACCCGTGTATGTACATATGTATTAAGCATATATGTATGTGTGCATAAGGATTGGAAAAGCATGAACATGGAAACAGCATGAGCATGTGTGTATGTAAACATACACATCCATATGCAGGTGTGTATGCATGTCATATACCAACATGCATACACAGACGTGTATATAGATACTTACATACATACATATATATATATGTAGGTACAAACACCTATATACCAAGGTTGGCTTGCAGGTAATTATATATGTTCCGCCTCAAATGCAACAACTATTTGTAACTTGGAAGTTTCGCTGCATTGTCTAAGTTTCCGGGTGAGGGTCCAATATCTTCTACGATGTCCAAGAATGTTGGAAGCCAATGACGACTTTCAGTCTAAGGTTTTGGGTTCGCCACCCAGTATCTCTTGAGACGATTAGGACCATCATGTGCATTTGGGTTCGAGGCCCAATAACTCCTTCTGAACTTGGGTCCCGGTACAAGGATCTTATTCCCATCATACTTGTACGGTGCAGAATGAATTACCCATCATACTTCTGTCATGTATGAGTGTCATCAGTAACCCATGTCACAGTTTTCAGGTGTTGGAGCCGCTTTCCTAGGTGGTGGACAACAATAGCAAGCGTAAAATCTTGACAGAGGGATGTTTCGTTGGATGGGACAGGATTGGTGGCATACTGGAAAATTTGAAATGATTGAGCAACACTGGATTGGGAGTGCCAAAGGCCGAAGGCTCCAGGCATCCTCTGCTTACAGACATGCGCCCTCCGGATCTCCGTCCAGAAGGCCCCTGGGGGCGGGGGGGGGGGGGCGTGTACCCCGCTTTACAACCAGAATCCCCACTTTACAACCAGAACCCCCACTTTACAACCCATGAGCCTTTCCGGAATCCCCACTTTGCAACCGGTTGGGAAAGCTTCTTAACAACCCTATTAACTGATAACGTCAAAGCCTAGAATCTCTAGCATCATCCTCTACGGCAGCCATGCAGGTTGGAAAGTGATGTTGGTTGCAATGTGGGCGTTCTTAACCCGAAACCACGATAGATATGTGTGTGTACATATACATATATATATATATATTCATTTATTTATTTATCTATTTATTTATTTATTTAGACGCGTGAAGGTTTGGTATCGATGATATACTGTTTAGATGCTCACCTCAGCGAGCGTGTTGTTGCATAGTAGTTTGCATGGCACTTTACGCACTTGCGGCCGTCAAGCTGTTTCCAACTCACTCCCTGCAGGCAAACTCGGACCGAGTGTGTTTGTATTGGGGAAAGCAGAAAGAAAACATGAGTTTTAGAAACGCATTCTTTTCTCACCAGAGCGCAGGTATGCATTTGGTTCGGGTGCATATTCTAAACCTAGTGGCTTTACAAGGGTTTAGGGCTTAGGGTTTAAGGCGTAGGGTTCGGGTGCATATTCTAAACCTAGTGGCTTTACAAGGGTCCAGGGCTCAGGGTTTAAGGCGTAGGGTTCGGGTGCATATTCTAAACCTATTGGGTTTACAAGTAACTTTACAAGGGTTTAGTTTAGGGCTTAGGGTTTAAGGCGTAGGGTTCGGGTGCATATTCTAAACCTAGTGGCTTTACAAGTAACTTTACAAGGGTTTAGGGCTTAGGGTTTAAGGCGTAGGGTTCGGGTGCATATTCTAAACCTAGTGGGTTTACAAGGGTTTAGGGCTTAGGGTTTAAGGCGTAGGGTTCGGGTGCATATTCTAAACCTAGTGGCTTTACCAGGGTTTAGGGCTTAGGGTTTAAGGCGTAGGGTTCGGGTGCATATTCTAAACCTAGTGGGTTTACAAGGGTTTAGGGCTTAGGGTTTAAGGCGTAGGGTTCGGGTGCATATTCCAAACAAGGGTTCGGGCGCATATAATCCGGAGCAGCCCTCAACTACTGCTTTGCCTCCAGCCAGGCGCACAGAAGCACCCACAGACGACAAAGATCAAAGATATCATGCGACGAAGCAATTTTAGGGATGTTCGAGATCTTAGTAGTTTGGGGCCACGGTCGCATGAAGGCCACGTAAAACACTTTACGGGGTCAAAGAACCAACAAACTATTAGGAATCTAGGTAGGTTTGTTGTAAAAAACTCATGAAATCCCAATAAGTCTTAATCATGGGTAGACGGGTTGCAAAGTGGGCATTCTCACGATCGGCAGTTGTAAAGTGGGGATTCTCACACGGAAAACAGTGTCTGTGGTTGTAAAGTGGGGATTCTGGTTGTAAAGTAGGGATTCTGGTTGTAAAGGGGGTTAATCCCGGGGGGGGGGGGGGGGTGGGGGGGGGGGGGGGGGGCGCAAAAAAAAATAAAAAAAATGGCACCAGATTTTGCACGCCACCCCCCCCCCCCCCCCCCAGGGCTCCAGGGCTCCAGGCCTCCATACTCCAAGGCCTAGAGCCACACCTTAAGGCCATGCCCTTATGTCCTTGAAAGTTTGTCCCATAACTTTATCTCTCTCGGACCGGTGCTCGGTTATGCCCGAACATTTTCAAATGGTTTGGTGGAATTTGTTGTCAATTCACAACACGTCGTAAAATGTTGTATGCTGCTAAAACAACGTTGCGGGAAGCGAAGAGCTTGCTGAGTTTGCCATATGAGAGTGCAAGTGAAAACACGAACACACGAAAAAGCACGCCACCAGGGCGTGATGTTCTGTTTTTTTAGGGGTTCAGGTTCCCTTATAGGCCTCTTTAAACCAAAAAGGGCACCCTTTTTATTCCTAGGTTACTCTTGGGTCTAGGTCGCAATTATAGTGACAGCAGTGGTCAAAGTCCTCGTCTAGGTCTCCCAGTGAGCCCTTTTTCCTTGTTTGTGTTTTAGGTTACTTTGGAAAGTCCTCGTATGATGGAGTTCACATGTAGATCCCTCATTTAGGGTTCAGGGTATAGAACCCCCAAGGACCGCTGCAACTGGCAAAGTTTTCATGGGCAAGGAATACAGGCCCTGAAACAAAGCAGGCTTGCTAATGAGGACTTTGCATTGACTGCTCGTACCGCAACGACCAGAACCGTTCACTATCTGTCAAGTCATGGCTCCTACTAGTCGCCCATCTGAAACCCAAGGTCCCGACACCGCAGTACAGCAGCCTAAACCCTGAACCCTGTTCCAAACCCTAGAACCCCCAAACCTCAGCTTTTTGCTGCAAGCAGAAAGCCTATCACCCCCCCGACCCCCCCAATTGTACCATGTGGATCTGGATGATTAAGCTCGTCCTAAGGGTCTCCTGAACTTATTTACAGTAGAAGCCCAGAAGTTGGAAACCGAATAGCCTCAATCCAAGAGTCATGCATGGGGAATCTCAGCACTTATTGTCCATAGTCCGATTTCCAACTTAGGGGGTTTACTATAGATTAGCAACTATAGTATTCTAGTCTTTTGTGATATACAGCTTAATTATGGTATGATGTACTTCTCGGGGTTCCCTGCAGGTATAACGGAGCGTAGTTGGAGGTCTATGTAAGCGTTCACCACTCTAAACCTCGCCGACGTTTACAGTGTAGGGCTTGTGATTTCCGATTTCCTCACCGAGGTTGTCTCGGGTTGACAGCCTACGGAGTGCTAAACCCTATACTCCTAGACTTCCCTACACCCTAAACTCTAAACCCTAAGCCGAAACCCTACGCCCCAAACCCTAAACCCTAGACTCCTGGAGTCACTCCTGGGGAGGATGCCACAGCCACAGCGCCCGAAGTGTCTGCCGAAGCCGAAGACAAAGGCCGAGCCAAGGCACGGGGAGGTAGCTAAGGTAGGGACCTGATAAGGAAACCTTGGGTCTCTGTTATGGTTTTGGGGTTTAGGGTTTTTAGGGTTTTTAGGGTTTTTAGGGTTTTTAGGGTTTTTAGGCTTTAGGGTTTAGGGGTTTCGGGTTTAGGGGTTTGGGGTTTAGGATTTAGGGTTTTTAGGGGTTTAGGGTTTTGGGGTATAGGGTTTAGGGTAGAGGGATTTTAGGGGTCAGAGGGATGAAGAAACATTGGGTCTTCAATATAGTTCTTTATATGAATCCTAGTATATTGGGGTTTTAGGACCAAGGTTTCTTAATCAGGTTTCTACATGAAAGGTAGCCGCATCATGTCAGGGGCGCAGGCCAAGCCTTACCTGAACCACCGGAAGCTTACTATATTAGTATCGTTTACATTAAGGAGTTAAGGACTTAGAGAGGAATGTCATAAGAAGGAACCCTATAAACATTGAAGGGTTTCCTGGGGTTCAGGTAAGCCCTCAATAGTTTCGGGTTTTTGGGTTGAAACCTCTTGGGCCGTACAAGAAGATTCTGCTTTAAGGGATGTGTGGTACTTTCTTAACACGTAATGCTGCAATCTAATCTACTATACTATACGGTGATATTGTGATACGATATACGCATTAAGTAAAGTACATAATTATCCAAACCGGCAGTGTGATTCATGGCGGGCCGCTGTTTTCCAGGGTACCACGATGTCACGAAGGGGCCTAGACTTACGGAGCAAGGACTTACACCCTTCAGCCGAAATCCGAACCCGAAACCCCTGAACCCCGAAGCCCTAAATCCCTAAACCCCAAAAGCCTAAAGCCCAGATAGCACCTATCCCTGTGTGCCTATGGTGGTTTCGAGATCCTTTTCTAGAAGATCAGGGTATCGAATCCACACAAAAGCAGAATCATAAGAAGCAGCACTGAACGTGCAAGCGGTGTAGGGTTCAGGTAAGGGGGTAGGGCTTGGGTTTCGGTGAGGATAGGGCATGGCAGCGTGGGATTCTACTTTGGGTAAGACTTCGGACCACTTTTCCGTCTTCCTTGCGGCTTTCCTCGAGGGCCGCCACACATCGTGAACCCCTACTTTCCTACTATGTGAGCCGAGCCCTAAACCCCTAAACCGCGAAACCCCTAAATCCCAAACCCTAAACCCCGAACCCCTATGTGCGAAGATTCACATTCTCCTGCCGCAAGGATGACACGCACAACGCGCAGTCCTCTTTTAGGATCGAAACAGGTGGGTCAAGGCTTTAAGAGGGTTTTGAGAGTGTTAGGTAGTAACCTGGCCTCTAGTCATTCCTCGTACCCTAGTCCTTAACAAACACCCTAAACCCCCCTAAACCCTCAAACCCTAAACCCCAAACCCCTAAACCCCTAAACTCCTAAACCCCTAAACCCCTAAACCCCCAAACCCCTTAAGGCGCGCGACCCACAGGTCCCATTCGACTGCGGAGGAGTCCAAGTCCGACTCTGTGTGGGGCCTCCTACAGGCTCTGGGAAGGGGGACGGTTTAGGGTTTAGGGTTTAGGGTTTAGGGTTTAGGCTTTAGGGGGGGCTTTGGGGGGTTGGAGATCCCGAGATTTGGAGTACCATACTTTACTACTAGGGTTTCAGGGGTTGGGGGTTTAAGGGGTTTAGAGTTTTAGGTTTAGGGTTTAGGGTGTAGGGATTAGTGCTTAGTGAGCTTTGGAGCACCATACTTTGCTATTTGTTTTCTTCAAGGAGCCAAAATGAAATAGAAGTTTATACTTTTTTCTCCCTGGTTACTTAAAGTGAGCCCAGGATTCCTGGGATTCACAATTGGGGTTGGGGGGTTTGGGTTGGGTACTGCCCCTACTCAGTAACAGTTGGGTAATATTCATAATATAGATGGGTGGTTGTCAAAATTATGGTCCCTTTTTCGGTCCCTATTATATTACGGCACCTAATATCTAAGTTACCCAGAAAGGAACCCTAATCTTGACAACGACCCAGATTGTATGGGGGGCAGTACCCAAGGTTTGGGTGTTGAGCTTAGGGATGGCCCGTGCCGGCACGAAGTCCGCAAAGCTTCAACGTTTCAGGTAGCTTGGGAGTCGGGGTTCGAAGTTTGGTTTTGTCGCGTTTTTGGGTGCTTGGAACTTGGAGCTAGTCGCGATCTTCATCACCGTCAGTGTCACGGCATCAGAAATGCCATCGTGTCTTCGTCGTCGTCCTCGTCGCAGTGAGTAGCAGTCGCTGGCAGTAGTAGCGGCAGTCGTCGTCTTCCCTAGTCGTCGCGGTTTTGGTGCGTAGTCTTCGCAGTCATGTTGGCATGGCATTGGTGGCAGTAGTTGTGGTGGTCGTGGTGCGGTTGTCGTGGTGGTGGTGTAATCAAATTCCTGAAACCCTGCATGTTAATGAAGGCAAAAGACCTACACCCATAAACCTAAGCCCACCTGCTACTGCTGTGAACACCGAGATGTACTCAGCTCCTAAGCTTAACAGCTGAACCCCACACCCTCCAACGAATCGGAGGTCCCCCCGGAGGAAGAAGCAGAGGAGGACTTAAAGGGATTTCAGGGGGAAGACTTGGTGCTCGCAAGGCTGTAAGAAGGGACACCGAAGTCGCGCCTGAAGCAAGGAATACACCCTAAGTTTTAGGAGCTAGGGTTTGGGGTTTAGGGCAGTTTAGGGTTTAGGAAGTTTCGAAGTTTCGGGTTTAGGGTTTCTAAATTATCGAGGGGGTTCTTGGGTCCTTGAGCTCCTCGCATTGATTTGTGGTGTACTCCCAGATCCCCAATACCCAACCTTTAAACTTTTTGGGTTCTTGTATTTTAGCAGGAACCGGATAGTTTAACCTTGTATTTCTGTGGTTTATTATTGGGGTAAGATAAAGCTCTACCAAAGAGCCCTTTCTATAGATTCGAACCCCGAAACCACAAACCCTGAACCGGAAAAACCCTGGGTCTCCCCCCCACCCAACCGTAAATCCTAAACCCCAAAGCCTAAGCCGTTTCTAGGATGCCCAGTAGTAACCCTATTCCCCTTTTGTAGTCCTAGGTTCCTTACAAAGTTGCCCAATACCAAAAAGGGAGCCCTTCTTATTCAAAGGTTACTGCACATCCTAGGCTATTGGAAGTCGTCCGCAGCCCTAAACCTTAAACCTTAAGCCCTAAACCGTATGAACTCGAAACCCTAAACCCTAAACCGGTTATGGGTAGTCCTAGGTTTTCGTAGACCCAGGAGCCAGCCGGAGATGAAGCCGAGCTCGAGCAGCAGCGTCAGAAGGTCAAGGATGGAGCTGCTCGTTTTTGTTGAGTCCTGAAGTCTTAATTTAGGGGATAAATAATTACCTAAAGTATTTTGGGGATTCCTTATCATAGTTAATATAGGAGCTCAAATAGCTACCTATGCCTATACTATTATTTTGGGGATTCCTTGTGATAACTATAGTACAATGGGCTCCAAAACCCTATTGTAATCCCTATATTACACCGTAAAACCCCCAAACCCTAAGCCCTGCCTCTAAGGCCGAACGCTAAGACGCAGAACGGAACTGAGGGCTCGCCTTCCGGGACAACATGAGGTTCGTCTAGCTGGTAGTTGGCATGGCAGTAGTACAGTAAGGAGCACTGTTCCTTTCTCGCAGAGTTAGTGCTGATTGTTGTGGTCGTATTCAGAGTCAAAGCGATATCTGCTCAGTAGCAGCAGCATCATTGTTATCATTTGTTGGTCTTTTGATGGTCGTGAAACAGCACACAAGAGCGCAGGCTGAACTATATAGATATTGGGGGGGCGCAGGTCCAGCTAAAATGCTGCCATGCTGCAGGTAATCCGTCGTTCTTCATAACGGCCATGGTCATCATTGGCGTCAGAGCGTGTAACTCACACGCAAGGTAAATCGCTCGACGAATAAAGCAAATAGCAAATCCAGAAGAAGCAGAATTTCCAGTGAAGTGCACACCATTGCATTGAACCGCAACGTCGAAGAACAGCTCTATCGCCCCTTACTTTTGTGAAGCCCTTACCACCAAAGTCTAAAACCCTAAACCCGACACCCAAAACCCTAAACCCTAAACCCTGAAGCCCAAAAAGGTCCGAAGATCAGCCTTGCAGTTTTGGCGCAGGAAGAGCAGGCTGTTCAGGAAGATCCCCCAAAGGCCAAGGAGGACAGAATGGCTTAGGGTTTAGGGTTTAGGGTACCTTGTCAGAGTCATCCTGAAGTTGTTGCACTATCTCTCTTTTTCCGCGTAATTCTCGAGCCGGAAAGCATCTGGTCCGGCGTTTCCGATTTCGGATTTGAGTTGCTCAGGGACGGCTTGCTCGACTTCTATGCTTCAGGACTTCACTAGCTTCTAGGATAGGTGTTTTAAATGATTGAGCCTGAGACCCTCAATCCTTGGCGTTCAGGGGTTTAGGGTTCAGGGACTACAGCCTACCCGGGGCCTACCCTACAACGTGAGTCTGAGAGCGTCGCAAAAGCACGGAACTCGTCGAGGTGAGAGATGGTAAACCCTAAACCCCGAAACTTTCTGATCCTATATATATATATATACATATATATATATATATATATAAATACATACATACATGTGTATATATATATATATATATATATAATTGGCTGTATACCTATAATCATCATGCACGGTGTTAAGTACTAATGCCATGTCTGTTTATGTTGCTGCTTTAACTGACAATATTCTACTACTAGTTCTATCATTGCTATTGCTGTTACTATGACTAGTTGTTACTGTTGCCATCTTGCTTTTGCTATCTCTCTGACTATTGCTTTTGTTCTTGCTATTGCTCTGTTTATTGTTGCTATTTGCCTATTACTACTCTTGAACCAAGTTTTTTCCTGCATTACCACTATCACGAATCTGCTTATTGTTGCTGTCATGGCCATTGTCATGTTCGTAATCACGACTGTTGTTTTACAGCGGCTTTTGCTTCTCACTACAATTGTCACCAATTTGATCATCACCTTTATCAGCATCATATGTATACAGAAATAAAACATAAACCACATATATATATATATATATATATATATATGCATATGTATGTACATACACATGTACATATTTTTGTTCTATATACATATATATATATACATACATACATATTGCTTGTTCCCAGGGTGCCGCCCACTGAGGCCATCCTAAATCGCTGTGGCCCCAAGTCACCAGGAGGCGGATGAGAGCAAGCTCGAGGAGAAGCAGGAAAAGAGGGAAGATGTGAAGGAGGCCGAGGAGGCACGATCACCACCTCATCCGTGCGAGAATAGATGTATTATTGTGTCTAGGGTGGGATACACAACGCTTTAGGGTTTAGGGTTAACCTCATCAGGGAGAAGATTGTTAGTGGTGCTTGCTGGTGGGTTAGAAAAGCTTTAGGTTTCGGATGCAGGGTTCACCCATAGGCCCCAAAGTAGTTCCTTTTTGAGAATACCTTATAGGATTCTATATACGAACCCCAAAAAGGAACTACTTTGGGGCCTTTGGGTAGAGGGCATTGGGGTAGATCGGCACGCAAGCACAGGCTGTTAGGATCGCATGAAATGCGCACTTCGGACTGAAGCCTCGAGCAAGAGTAGCACACAAAAAGTAGGGTTGAGGGTTTAGGGTTGAGGGTTTAGGTTGTGGGGTTTAGGGTTTAGGTTTTGGGTTTGAGGTTTAGGATTTAGGGTTTAGGTTTTGGGTTTAGAGCTTAGGGTTTAGGTTTTGGGGTTAGGGCTTAGGTTTAGGGTTTAGGGTTTAAGCCGGAAGCTCAAGTCCTAAACACTGCATCTGGGGGCCCGAGGGTTTCAGGCAGAGTCTTGCAGAAACTTGGAGCAAGATGCTGCAACGCTAGCCTGGTAGTAGAGTAGGTAACCTTTAGCCTTTTTTGGGGGGCTTAGGGTATCCTTAAGGGGCTCCTTTAAGGGATCTATAGGGGTTCTCTAAGGGGCTCTTAGTAGTAGAGTAGGTAACCTTTAACCTTTTTTGGTAGTATAGCCCTCATACAATCCCTATATAACCCAAAAAGGTTCACCGTTAGTTCCCCATGATACCCGACAAGTTGGCTAAACTTTTGACTCTAAACTTCACACCTGAAGACCTTCCAGGGGAAGCTGGACAGTTTTGCGGGGCCTCAGATTCCGATAACTCCCCGAAAGCCTGCATCACAATAAATCTTTATCCTTACACCCCCAGAACCGTCAACCCTGTAAACTGCAAGTGCTGAACCCTAAATGTAGTAGGGTTTAGGGTTTAGGGGTTAACTCCTAAATTAAACCCTGAAGCCCTGAAGCCCCAAACCCCTACAGTGCCCTCATAGTTACTGATCCCTCAACTATAAAAGCCCGAAGCCATCCCAACCCCAAAAACCCCAGTGCCCGGGCCCTCGGAAGACGCTTCCTGCTAAGGCATGTAGTTTAAGTTATTATGATACACTTTTGTTACCTGTAGATCCCTACTAAGACAACTTCAGCTAAGTTACTCAACCCCCCCCAACCTACATCCCTACACTGGGAACCCCTAAACCCCTAAATCCCTACACCCTGAGCCCCTAAACCCCTAAATCCCCACACCTTGAACCCCTAAACCTCTACATCCCTACACCCTGAACTAAACCCTGATCCCTGAACCCAGAAGAGGCTGCAGAGAAGCCGGCCGAGCCAGCTTCGTCCAAGGAGGACTCTCGGAGTCTCAATTCGCCCATGGCTTTGGGGGTTCCTTAATGGCGTCCTAATTTAGGTTAGCCTGAAGGCGTTCCTTTTTCAGGAGTTGCTATAGATTTTTTGTTTAGCTGGTTTAGGGTTGAGGGTTTGGGTTTTAAGTGTTTAGAGGCCTCCAGGGTTTAGTATGGGGGGTTCAGAACTTGGGTTGCTGGGTTCGGTGTTGGGGGATTGGAGCAGCAACAACGCCGCCACCACCACCACCACCGCCGCCGCCGCCGCCACTGCCATCACCAGCAGCACAGCCACTGCCACCGCCAGTGCCCCCGACAGCGCCAGCGCAACCGCCACTGCCAACGCCACCGCCACCGCCACGTCGACGACGGCTGCTTCTACTACTTCTACTACCGCGACACCTACTGCTCTGCAGCTCCAAGGCCTAGTCTTGTGTGTGAGGCAGGTTGAACTTGCAAGGACCACCACGGCTACCACGCCTCCGAAGATTCTGCCTCTATGAGTAGCATCACCGTCGCGAACCTTCAATGCTATACTGTATATATATATATATATATATATATATATAGCACCTGAATGGTTGCCAATATTGGTCCTGAGGGTTCCTTGTCTACTCCACAATCCTATTCTACTTTCGAAGGCCAGTAGATTAGTTGTTTTGAAGTTTTGAAGGACATCAGCAAAGAAGAGCCAACAGCCGATGAAGCCCCGTGCCAGGAGGATTCCTTTCAGGATTCATGGTTTCTGGCTCTATGTTTGACGGCATGCTCCGGTTTAGGGTTTTAAGGTGTTGGGGTTCAGACCTTAGGGTGTGATTCTCCTCACCGTTGCCAATGTTATTATACCTTGAATGTTCTCATGAAGACGAATCAATGCATCAGCGTCTCCCCTCTTTCTATAGTCTCCGTAGGAATTAGTTTCCATTTTTGTTCATATAAAACCCAAAAGAATATTGAACATAGTAGCTTTATTATGGTTCTAAGGGGGGGGTATAGCTTTTGGGTGAATGCTGAGTTCCTTGATAACCTAGAGCCCGGCATCCGAAACTATCATAAGACTCCAACCACCCCAAATCTTACCTTTGGTTAGTAGGGAATGGAAGAATGGTAGTAATGGGCTCCTTTAAAGGGATCTATAGGGTTTAGGGATCTATAGGGTTTAGGGTTTAGGGGTTTAGGGCTTGCCTTTGGTTAGTAGGGAATGGAAGAATGGTAGTATTAAGTAGTTATAATTGTACCCCATTCCTCCATTCCCTACTAACCAAAGGTCAGAAATGCTACCGGGGCTTTCCCAAACCACCGTTCTGGCCCGGATCTCTTCCCCCCCCCGCACCTTCAATCCATAGCCATCTTCGGATAGCTTGCCTCGCCAGAGTTGGAGAGCAGGGGTTTCGAGTTTCGGGGGTTTAGGGTCTAGGGGTGGGGAGGGAGGTATTGTGTTATGCGCTGGGCGTGCGGATCGGGCCAGCTGGGGGGCTAAGGAGTAGAAGGCTTTCGCCGGTTCACGCAGGTACAATTCAGGGTCCAAGCTTGATCTGTAGCCGAAAAGGCTTACCCTTTTAAGGAACTATTTATAGAAGCCATAATAAGGAATCCAAAAAAAAGGTAGGTCTTTTCGGCTACAGGTAGGGGTTAGAGTCGTCGGGTTTGGGCAACTTCTGTCAGTGTTGGCAACTCCGGCCTGTCAGTCCAGCCTAGGTACCAACCCCCATACTCTAGGAACTTCTGTATGCTTCAGCGTTGGACGGCTTGGACCTCTAGGGCTAAGGATTTGGGGGTTTGGGTCTAAGGTTTGGTTTGATGTAGGAACCTGAAAAAGAAACCCTGGAACTATAACCCCCAATATATATATATATATATATATATGGATTCATATAAGGAACCCTAATAAGAACCCAAGGTTTCTTAATCAGGTTCCTACATTATAAGCATGTTCTGAAGAATTGTTATAGAAGAATCCATGTACTAGGTGAGAACAAGACCTACCCCATATTGCTTACACCGCAGGGCTGCAGCTACCGGTAGCCATGCTTACGTGTTTAACCATTACCATGTCTATGACACTGCTCGCACTGCTGCTGCTGCTCCTGCAGCTGCATCCAAAGCCACTTCTACGTACTGCTTCTGCTACTATGACGACGGTGACGGCGAGTCTTACTGCTACAAGGCACAACAGCAACATCTAACACTGTAACTGCCACGGCGACTGACTGCCACCTCTACGACGACAGCTACGGCTACCACCACCGCGACTACCACCACCACGACTACCACAACGACAACTGCGACGATGACGACGCCGACGACGACTACTGCTACTGCTGCTGCTGCTCCTCCTCCTGCTAATGCTGCTGCCAACGCTCCTGCTAGTGCTCCTGCTGCTGCACCTGCTCCTGCTCGTGCTCCTATATCCTACTATTGCAACTGCTACTGCTGGTACTACTGGTACTGCTAGACTAGAAATGATATAAGTGCAAGTAGTACTGCTGCTACTACTTCTGCTACTGTCACTACGACGACGACCTACTACTACTACTACTACTACTACTACTACTACTACTACTACTACTACTACTACTACTACTACTACTACTACTACTACTACTACTACTACTACTACTACTCTTACTACTACTACTACTACTACTACTACTACCACTACTACTACTACTACTACTACTACTACTACTACTACTACTACCACTGCTACTACTACTACTACTACTACTACTACTACTACTACTACTAATATTCTACTACTACTCTACTACTATTCTACTACTATTCTACTACTATTCTACTACTATTCTACTACTATTCTACTACTATTCTACTACTATTCTACTACTACTACTACTACTACTACTACTACTACTACTACTACTACTACTACTACTACTACTATTACTACTACTACTACTACTGCTACTACTGCTACTACTGCTACTACTGCTACTACTACTACTACTACTACTACCACCACTGCCACCACTGCCACCACTGCTACCACTACCGCCAGTACCACCACTACCAACAGTACTACCACTATCTATCACTACCATTGCCACCACCACTACCACTATCACCATCGCCACTACTCCTATTTCTACTTTATTCATAGCTATTTTTATTTTGATGGTAGTATGACTACTATCGCCATGAGTCAGCAGAAACAGCGTCAGGAGAAGTCGTAATCGTTATAAAGTGGCACAAGAGCAGTAGCGGGGCCTAAGCAAGGGCGGGAATGGTGGTGTTACCGTACCCTAAGCCCTTAATCCGAAGACCTCTACTTCAAACCGTAACAAAACCCAGCAGGAGATGGAAAAGAAAGTGCAAGCTGCAGAGAAGCCCGGCGATCCTTCGTGGTCCAAGGACGAGGACGGAGCGACACGGAGCATGGAGAGACATGCACTGAGTCCTGGAGCAGAGGTTTGGGGTTCCCCTTGCGTTTAATGTAGAAGTCGGGCTTTTACTTCCTATTGCTACAACAACAACAACTACTACTACTACTACTATTGTTACTACTAGTACTACTACTACTACTACTACCACCACGACTACTACTACTACTACTACTACTACTACTACTACTACTACTCCTACTCCTACTACTCCTACTCCTACTCCTACTACTACTACTACTACTACTACTACTACTACTACTACTACTACTACTACTACTACTACTACGACTACTACTACTACTACTACTACTACTACTACTACTACTACTACTACTACTACTACTACTACTACTACTACTACTACTCATTCTAGTCTACTTCACTTGTTCGCCATGAAGCTGTACCAATGGCGATTATCCGTGCTAGTGACAGTGCTGGTGTTGATCTGTACTGCCAGGTTTAGCGTTAGTATCAGCAGTCTCGTATTACCAAATCCTGCAAGAACCAGTCATGACAACAGCAACTACCATGCTTATTGTATCTTTCGCTGGCGCAGGATGTGGACTCTAACGCAGACGACTGGGGGGACTGGACTGAGGCCGAGCCTGACCCAGAGCCCTTAGCTGCCCAGTTTAGCCTCAGCCACCTCGGTCAGGGAGGTGCCGCGACTTTCAAAGGTCTGACGGGAAACCGATTTTCGAACAGAACCTACTTTCGCATTCGAGCGTGTGAAGACATGCAGCCGTTTCCAGTGTTGGTGTAAGAATCATGGTCACAACCATGTCATCACTTTCAATATCGTCACAACCCGTTATGTGCATCACTGGGTCGATTCAGGGTTGATGATGGTTGCCCCACAAACCCTACACCCTAAACCCTTGATGATGGTGGTTTGCATGACTTTTGCATTCGTCTTCTAGCATCATGTGCTTGCGTGAGACTCACCCACAAGATTTAATACAGAAGCAGATATGACTAAGTGACTAACAACACGATTCCTTTGACATTAGGGTTGCTTATACCATTCTTAATGACTATAGAAAAACTTCTACCCTAGTCTAATTATCATGGCCCCTAGATTATCCTTGAAGCAGTTGCGTCTTGGGTGAAGGTTGTGCGTGTTTGGGTTCCGGTTTGAAGCGGTTTCGTAGGGCCCTTTTATAAGTTACAGCTGTGACCTTTCCTGTTAGAGAAGATAGATGACATGACAGCATGATGCACAGGTTGCACTCAAAAGTCTATGTTCTTTACCACCCCCCAACCTCATTGATGCTTGTTCACCGTGATCCTTGCAACGCTGAACCCTGAAGCGTGAACTACGAACCTCTACCCTGAAGTGTGCCCAGCCCCGTCTTCATTCCAATCTGACACTTTTCAGACGTCGTCTAGGATTGGTTCCAAATCTTGACCCGCAAGTTTTGTAGTTGCAGCAACTCCCGGAACCCTACAGTATATCCGAAGCCCTAAGAAAACCCTAGACCCTTTTCGAACCCAAATCTTCATAACACCCAAAAACCTTTGCACACCCTTGTAACGAACCCTTTGAGACTCCTTAGTAAAGCCGTTCTTAGAACCCTTATGAAACTCTCATAGACACTCGTAACAAGCCTCACAAACCCTGGAGGAAGCCTGATAAACCTCCACAAGCCTAAGCGCTAAACCCCTGAACCTAAACCCCCAAACCCCTAAACCCCTAAACCCTACAACCCTAAACCCTTCAACCAAAAACCCTTAAACCCTAAACTGCCCTCAACCCTAAACCCTAAACCCTTCAATCCTAAACCCTAAACCCTTCAACCCCTCAACCCAAAACCCTTAAACCCTACACTACCCTCAACCCCGAACCCTAAACCCGTATGCAAAGCCCTCACTACTTAAAGGATCATGGGACTAGTAACTAAGGCTTTAATTAGGGTAACTATACGTATAACCCCAATTAAGGTACTTATAACCTTATTTACTAAGTCCCATGATCCTCCAAGTAGACCCTAAACCCTAAACCCCATAGATTCCTTTAAGGAGCCCTTAGATCCCTTTAAGGAGCCCTTTAAGAGCCCTTACTAAGTCCCATGATCCTCCAAGTATCCCTGACAGGGAGGCTTCGCTGGGAGCCCCGCTGCCAAGGAAACCGTCCCCGAGGGCTTCACGGACCGCCTCTGGGATACCTTTTTTGAAGGGTATTAAACCTGGGCTTTGGAGTACCATGCTTTAATACTTCTTTCTTAAAGGAACCATTCTGAACTACAAGTTTATACATTCTTTCTCCCTGGTTGCTCAAAAGCCCAGAAACTGGATACTATCGGTGCTTTTTCTATGATGGCCAATGCTGTTTTGGTGGTCCCTTATTGTAATCGCGGTGTGATGGGCCCCAAAACCCTATTCTAACTACTAAGGATTGTATGGTACCTTTTTGAGCGGTGGTGGGGGGTTGGGTTTCAGGGCTCTGGGGCTTCAGGGTTGTTTTCATGAGGTTCTTTGCTGGAGGATCTCCATTCGTGGTCCGTATTCTCTAAACCGTCACGTTCGGAGGAGGATCAGCTTCAAGAGTCGACATTTGACAGGATCCTAAAAGTCGAGTAGGTAACCTTTAAGCTTTTTTGGGGAGTGTAGTCCCTATATAATCCCTGTACAACGAAAAAGGTTAACCTTTAGTTCCCCATGATACCCGACAAGTAGGGGATTTGTTGTCGCTGTTATCATGATCATGGCTGCTAGCTGTTATTGTGGTCTTGCCTGAGTCGTTGGAGCAGTCGTTGAGGGAGAGAGCGAGCAGGCAGGGACCTAGCCGACCAGAGCAAGCAATCCGTTAGTGACTGCTTGTATCACATGGGTGGTTGTCAAAATTCAGGTCCCTTTTTGGGTCCCTATCATAATGCGACACCTATTATTTAGGATACCCAAAAAGGGGACCATAATTTTGACAACCACCCTCATGGCCCTGACTGAGTTGATTGGCGGTGTCGGCTCTGCAACACGATTAACAACGCGGATCGCAGCACCTGCAGTGGTTGCCTGGTGCTCAGAGCTTTGAAGAACTAGAATGGAGTTTCGGGATATAGTAGAGTATACTGATAGTGGAATAATCCGGCCGGCTGAGCCAGCGGCGTAAATCTGAGAGCTTTGAACGAGTTTTCGAGTTTAGGGTGTCGTTGAATTGGCGCAAGCAGGAGGAGTTCTGAGGCACAGGTTGGATGGAACATCTTCCGGAGAAGTCGGTCCTTTCACTAATGTACCCCGCCTAGAGCATGACCACGGCGAACCTCAAGTTTCCACCACTGCATGCATGATGATGGATGCTCACGGCTTCTCCTGGCTACTCTGCTATGCCGGAACTCTTATCTTTAAAGGGGAAAAGGAAGGACGCTTAATGGGGACCCCAACCCTATAATGGGCTATATAATGGGTAAATAATAGCTATATTAAGGGTGGATACCTAGGGGTCCTTACTAAGGGTCCCCCCTTTTACCCTTGGATATCTGAGAACTCTGGCACCGACCATGGTGAGTTGGACCATGAGCGAGGTGCGGAGTTTGGCCAAGCCTACATACACGTCCCAGTCCGAATACAAGTTTTCTTGGGTGGTCCGGGCAAAAACAGCTATGGCCATAACCCTAAACCCCTTGGGCCCTATATCCCATAGCCCCCACACCCCATAACCTCTGAATCCCATAATCCCTAAACCCCACAATCCCTGAAACCCCTAAACCCCATAATCCCTAAACCCACAATCCCTAAACCCCTAAACCCCATAATCCCTAAACGCCACAGTCCCAAAACCCCTAAACACCATAATCCCTAAACCCCTAAACCTCATTCTTAACCCCACAATCCCTGAACCCCTAAACCACCGTAATCTCTAAACCCCAACCCCCCTAAACCCCAAACCCCTAAACCCTAAATCCCAGACCTGAAGAGCCCGAAGTTTAACCCGAAACACCGCAGTCCGCAGTACCCTCAACTAGGACTTAGAGTAGGCCCTTATTCCCTTTTTAGGGTTCAGGTTCCCTTATAAGCCCCTTTAAACCAAAAAGGGCACCCTTTTTATTCCTAGGTTACTCTTGGGTCTAGTCAAAAGTAAGTATGTCATCCCCTAAGGCACCATGATAGTTCCTTTTTGGGATTACCTTATAGGATTCTAAAACTCTTGGGTCTAGTTGAACCCGAAACACCGCAGTCCGCAGTACCCTCCAGGTGGAGCCGTCCGCTTTGCGGGAGTTGATCGGCGACTTGGTTGGTTTGGGGCTTTGGGTTTCGGGGTTTAGGGTTTAGGGTTTTGCTTTTGTGTGTTTAAGGTTTAGAGATGTTTTGACGGTTTAGGGGTTTAGGCTTTTGGGGTTTTGGGTCTTGGGGTTTTGGGTTTTGTTTCTTTGTGGTTTAGGGCTTGCAGGGTTTTATTAAAATTAAGGTTTACAGGGTTTAGGGGTTTAGGGTTTTGGGAGGTTAGGGGTCGACGCAGAAATTTCTTCTTGGACCCTTCGGTGATTCAAAGTTTCGGGTTGAGGACTTAGGGTTCAACGTTTAGGGTTTAGGGTTTAGGGCTCAGTGTCTTGAAGCCCGAGAGCCCAAGTCTCAAACCCTAAATCCCTGTAGCAACCTCACTGGAGCCGGCATGGGCACCTTAACCCCCCTCCCTGGGTTTAGGGTTTAGGGTTTCCCAACAAGAACTCTTTTTCGGCTTATACCAAACCTTTCCGTAGAGTCCTTAGAAGGGCCTTCTAAACCACTCCGTCGAAGTTTTAACAAGTACCAATGTCATCCCTTCGGGGTTCCTTTTTGTAACAAAATTATACCAGATTATATGTACCAAACCCTGTTACCGAAGCCTTATAGGAACCTTAGTCTAAGCACGAAGGCTCCTATTCAAAACCCAAAATTAAAATCCTAAGTCATTAACACCAGAAGCCATAAGCCCTAAACTCCAAATCCTAAACCCTCTAAGCCCTAAACCCTACATCTGTTGTGACCCTTAAGGCCCGTATCGTAAAGCCAAGATCCTGCAGCCTTTACCGTAGAAGCCCGAAAGCTGGAAACCCAATCGTCTCAATCCTTAAGAGCAATGCACAGGGAGTCCCAGCAGTATTTGGCTTTAATCAGGTTTCAAACTTTGGCGGGTTTACTATAGATTAGCAACTATAGTATTCTAGTCTTTTGTGATCTACAGCTTAATTATGGTATGATGTATGGCCCTAAACCTTCAACCCTAAACCCTAAGCCCCTAAACCCTAAACCCAAAGCTCCTAAACCCTAAACCCTAAACCCAAAGCCCTAAACCCTAAACCCTGAAAGCCCAAACCCTAACCCTAAGCCCCTTGTAAACGCGAGGTCGAGGCCGATAGAAGAGCAGTTCAAGCCACTTCACGAGGAGCGCGAGAGCCCTCCGAGGAGGGGCGCCGCGGGCTTCGGATTTTGGGCTTGCAGGGTTTCGGGGTTTAGGGGTTTAGGGGTTAAGGATTTAGGGCTTCAGGGGCTCTTTGGGTTTAGGGGTTTTGGGGTTTCGGGGTTTAGGGTTTAGGGGCTTAGGGTTGAGGGTTTAGGGGTTAGGTTTTAGGGGTTAGGGTTTAGGGGTTTAGGGTTTAGGGGCTTAGGGTTTAGGGGTTTCGGGGTTTAGGGTTTAGGGTTTAGGGGTTAGGGGCTAGGGTTTAGGAGTTAGGGTTTAGGGGTTAGGGTTTAGGGTTTAGGGGTTTAGGGTTTAGGGTTTAGGGGCTTAGGGTTCAGGGGTTTCGGGGTTTAGGGGTTAGGGGCTAGGGTTTAGGAGTTAGGGTTTAGGGGTTTAGGGTTTAGGGCCTTTGGGTTTAGGGTTTAAGGGTTTAGGGTTTAGGCGCTTAGGGTATATAGGGGCTTTGGGTTTCGGATTTCAGGTTTCGGGGTTTGGAGGGTTGTAGAGGTGTGGGTGTGGGACTTGGGCTTGGGATTTGGGGTCTTGGGTTTGGCATGTAGAAGCCGCAGTCTTACTAGGCACAGCAACAGCAGTGATATTTCTACACCCTAATTACGTAATTACATATCCTTCCCGTCACTGTCACAGTAGTACTAGTCAGAGCCTGGAAGACATTGTCATCATAACATTGGAGTTTGCCACAACTGCGCAAGCAATCACGCGCATTAGACCCCAAGGCCTTACACCTTCATCCCTAAAGCCCCAAAGCCCAAAAGCCCTAGAACCCCGAACTCCATGAGCCCTAAATCCCATAACGTCTACACCCCGTAGCCCCTAAATCCCATAATCCCCAAGCCCCAAAGCCCAAAAACCCTAGAACCTTTAACTGGGTGGAGAGGGGAGAGGCGGGCCTGCGAAGTGCGACGCCGCCCCTCACTGTCGCGAGCGAAGAAAGTCCCTCAGCGCGTTTTGCGCAAGGCTTTGGCCGAGCGGGCTCTTTCCGTCGGCGAAATCTGTGTCCACGTCCTCTGCAGTTCTGTACACTTGTACGTGGGTCCTACATACTCTCTGACAATCCTGGAGCGGTCTCGTCGTTTGCATCTTCAACACCTTCAACAGCAAGGTCCCTGTAGTTGCATCGTCCGGAAACTGTGCCCTCTGTCGAACGCCGTGCATCGGATCCTGTAGGCCCACTGCACGCAGACCAAAGCATTTCCTGCGCTTCTGGGGCCAGATAGAGCGACCCGCGAGTCGTTCAACCTGACGCACCGAAGCGACCAACGTTTGCGTGAGCTGTCTCAAGCTTGCTGGGACCATGAAGTGTCGCGGTATTACTTGGTGACGGGCGGCCTCCTCCAGTCCAGTTGGTGGGCAGACACCCGTACAAACCACGAAGCTTACTAACAGTTCCAGATAGGAAGTACCAGATTTTGCGCGGCCAGCGCCTTCCTCTTCAGACCACTTTAGGCGACGTGCCCATTGCCAAAGGGGCAATGTGAACCAAACCGGCCAGCTGCAGGCAAGCAAAACCTCCCGTGACGGCTTTGGGAGATTCCAACTGACACCGTCATGGATGGACACTCTGTGCCACCCTGTCATGGGGTCATGTGAGCAGACCTGGGACTGGTCGTCGTCGCGTTGGCCATGTGCCTCCGGAGCAACCTCCAGCGGCTCAAAAGACTGGCACTTCCTGAGCAGCAATATCTCTTCCTGGGACAGTCGACACAGGTAGCGCCAAAAGAGCCACAAAGCATCCCGCTGCGTCCGAATGTACTCAACGGCTTCGGCATCAGTCTCCTTAACGAGGTCGAAGTCGTCCAGAAGCGTGGCCTTGGCGGCTTCGTCTGCAAGCATGTTGCCAGCGCAGTACCATTGAGGCAAGCCCCACAGTGTTTTGGCGTCCTGGTGGGCCGCGACCTTGCGCAGCTGTATGCGTGGGGAGTGCACTTTAGCCAGTTCATGGGCCAGATCAGGCCACATAGGTGGGCGGTTTGTAGCTACTCTTTCCCACTCCTCCATGGCGACCTTACTGTCAGTCCAGATCTGCGCATCGCAGTTGTGAATTGCAGCCAATCGACAAGCCTGTATGATTGCACAAATCTCAGCTCGATGAATGTTCTGCTCTCCCGGGACCAAACCAAGGGCATGCACCCTGAAACAAGGCGGGACCTGGTTGAACTCCCGCCATTGGTGCAAATAGCCAGGTATCAACACATCGTCCTGGCTAGTGTCAACTATCACTGCGAAACCTGCGCGGGACGCAATAGGGATGTCAGGGCTGCTACAGCTACCGTCCGTAAACATGCGCAGAAAGCCACGGCGGCCCGGCAGGCTGAGTTCCTCCGGCAGCGGAAGAGGCTGAGGGAGGTCACGAGAATGGAAGATCAACCTGTTGACCTCAAGATCATGTGGCTCAGTTGCGAACGGGCCATGTATCCAGTGAGGCCAGTTTGCCGCCACCAGCTCAAGCACAAAGTGGTATGGCCGTCGCACATGCTCGAGCGCAGGGCAAACCATAAATTTGTGGTGCTTTGTCTGACGGGCACCACACAAGGGACACTCCGGTGGTTCATCGTCCTCCCACCTGGACCGTGCAGCAGCAGACGTGAAACCACCGGCAATGTGGCGGGAAATAATGGCCTGGTCGGAGATACTCAACCGCTTCAAAAGGCGACCTGTCTCTGCTGCAAAGGGGGGAGACAGGCTGGTCATTCCGTTACGGTGGCTCACTGCACCCGCGACCTGGCGGGACCAAGCCCGGCGCACCAGAGTCTTGACATCAGAGGGCCGGCACAGGTGCAGCCACAGCCGAGAATTATCAGGGCCTTTGACGCACCCTTCACTGGACAAGGAAAGGCCCAAACGTAGGAGGTTCAAGCCTAATGCGGTCGCGGGCCCATTGCTGCGGCACTGTGGCTGTGTCGCAGCAGCCAGCTCCAGGACTGAGACTGCAGTCTCCATGTCGAACAAAGCTGCGCGGCGCAAGGCAAGTAATTGGCGCTCGACCACATAACATTGCGGGTCCTGCACGGCAGCGGTAAGTGCCCCAAGTGCAAGATGGGGGGACAGCACCTTGTAGTTGCCCACGATTGCGCGAGAGGCGCGACCACGAAGGAGATCAAACTGGTTAACGGGCAGTGTATGGCTTTCACATCCGTAAAACACCGCAGGCCAAACGCCTCTCTGAACCATTGAAGCCTTCTCACTGACAGGGCGCGGCTGGTCACGCAGTCGATCCAGGCGGTTAAGGGCGTCCTCCAGGCGTCTGTCCCTGAGGCAGGCATGTGGCAGCCGGTCGAAGGTATATGCTACACCGAGGTCCTTGGCTTCAGTGACACAGGCAACAGTGCTGCCCGAGGGAAAAAGAGACTGACCTGAATCACGCCACCACAATCTGTCCTTTCGGCAGGTAGCCCAGCAGTAAGACTTGGCCCAGTCAACCGGGATCCGGAGCGACTTCAAGAACTGGAAGGCGCAGGGCAAGGCTCGCGCAAGAGGCCCGGCACTGGCGGCTGTCCACGCCCAGTTGTCAACGTATGTGTCAAAGGTGAGGCCGGCGCAAGAGGCAAGGTGAATGGCGAACTGGCACACTGCTGCCATGATGGCAACACTAAAGGGGTCTCCTTCCGGAGCACCATTGAAGCCGCACAAACCCTCACCTAAGTCACCCAAGAAGGAGCTGTGGCGGCGAAGCTTTTGCATGCAGTCCAACCAGAAAAGGACCTCAGGCTTGGGAACACCCATGTGCATCACCATAGCGGCCGCAGGCTGCCACGGGATCTGGTTGAAGCACTTGACTAAGTCAACAGAGGCCCCGAGTAGCCCTGAGCGCTGCAGGAGAGCGCGCTCGATGGCGTGCTGCTGGCGGTAACTCAGATCACGGCACGAGCAGCCCGGCATGGATCCCATGACACCATCATGGAAAAGCGGTCGCCACTGTGCCAGGATTTGTCGGGTTAACACAGAAGCCCAAACACGATAAAGTGTCGAGAAGATCGTGATAGGACGACTTTGTGCGATCGACTCAGGCTGAGCGACTTTTGCAAGGACACTCACCTTGGCCCGTAACAGGTGTGCTGGGACGCCACAGGTAATGGCCTGATGAAAGATGTGGCACAGGACCTCAATTGCCTCAGAGGGTAGGAGCTTCAAGTCTGACGGTGCCCAACCACAAACACCGGTAGCCTTTTGGCGCGGCATGCGGGTAATGGCAGCCGCCCAAAGATCCGGAGCAAAAGACCGTACCTCAATCTCACACCTGGGCACACCCTTCTCCGACAAGAGCTGACAGAAGTGGGGCCATGCGTCAAGGTCCTTGCTAGATGTGCCCTCATCACGTTGCCACAAACTACTCCAGAAACACTCAAAAGCCCGGTGAAGCTCCTGTGGACTGCAGGCAACGAAAGACTGCTTCAGTCTACCTGAGTTTGGCAAATGTTCCCCTTGGACAGTGACGGTGGTTTCGGTACGACTCGTAATATAGCACTCCTGCGACTCAATGCGCGCAGGGCCAGGGCACTGCAAGTTGACGAGTCGCGGGATTTGGTACACTGCAGTGTCCTCGGCTTCCTGTCTGACACATAGAACAGGGGCCTCAGCAGTGCATGGCACCTCAGTAAAAGGCGGGTGTGGGGGGGATCTCATCTGCCTGAAACCCGCCTTGCCCGCCGACTCAGCGCCGTCGAGGTGGACGCGGTAACGGAAATTGTCACGACGTGCTTTGGACTGCTGGCGGGCCAGGCAATCTGCGTCGTACTTCAGGTACGAAAGAAGGTCATCCAGCCACTCGGCTTCGGGCAACTCAACCGGAAAATGGTTGAAAGACGCAATAGACAAGACCCAGTCTGGAAAGCATGGCGGGTAGCCGTGGGCCCTGCAAACAGCCCTCCACTCGTTGCGCAACTGCTGCAGGCGTCGTGGCGAATGTGGCAACCCCAATGCGTGAAGCTTTCTAATGCCGGACAACAGGGTGTGCACTCTACGCACTTGTCGCACCTTCAAGTGC